AGTGACTCAGAAAAATAGTCTTTGACAAACATTGTTACATAAGTACAGTGTGACAATTTGCCAAAAATTAGATGAGTTTAAGTTTATTTAGAAAGCCGTATTTCCCTCCTTGTGAGTTGGAAAGCCGTGCTGAGTCTGGAGGACCACATCAACAAGCCAGTTCACCCTTCCATCAGCCACACAATCCACACAGGGCCCAGGAAGAGAGAAGACAGGTCACCCTGGCTGTGAGCCGACCATTGCACGGACTGAGATAGCAAATGAGGTACAAAAACAATTAAAGGCTTGAATTACTTGATTGACTTTGCAGGCCTATGGAGAATAACAGTGAGCAATATAGCAAATATGGATGATTCTCTCTGTCTTGTTTCTGAAATCCAATATTGATCGCACTGTTTTGTTCTGATTGTTTTGTTTTATTCAATGTTCTGTTTTGATTGATTTTATTCCTTTTTGTTTTATTTGATTTTCCTATGTCTGATGGTGTGAACAATTATTGTGAGGGTAACAAAATATACTGCAGTAGCCATTGTTGATTTCCTATTATCCTGCTTTGAAGTTCTGTACCACGTTCACTGCCCTTTTTGATTGGCTTTATTCTGCTTTGTTTTGTTGGATTTTATTCTCTTTAAAATAAAAATAAATGTATTTAGATGTGCTTTTAAAATCACAGTTTTGTAACTATTCAAAGATAAATGTAATATTTATGTTTAACTATAGTTCTAGCCTGCTAGTAATTCATATGTATTACATATATATGTGTATATATATATATATATATGATCATCTGAGTTAATAATATGGTGATCTGAATTTAGAATTATGATCTAAAGTGCAGACTTACTCAGCATGCTGAAGTTCTGTGGATGTCCCTCAAAAGGCAGCAAAAATGTGATCTAAAAAGAGACAAAGCCATCCATTGCCTGCACCCCAACCATAACAACTCCAATAGTCCAGTAAATGGCAATTGGGGAAATGTCAGTAATTATGAAAATTTGACTTTGCATCTAAATAAGATAATTAACAACATGGTTTTGTATTTATTACTGAAATAAAAAAACACAAAAATAAATTGCTTTTTATCCAGTTAAATAAAAAATACTGTTCTATGAAAGATCCTGTAAAAGAGGAAAAAGATAAGTTAAAAACCAGGAGAAAATATTTGCAGAAGTGCTGCTATCTAAAACACATAGCTTTCAAATCTCTGTAGTAAAAAAATTTTTTTTGAAAAATAAAAAGACATAGACCTTTCACCAAAGAGGGTATGAAAATGATAAATATGCACACGACCATTTCACTTACATTTTAGCTAGAGATAGTTTATCAGAATATCATGAAGTTTTTAAATTATGGTTATATGCTCAATATGTCAGAGTTTTAATCTTGCATTGACCATTTAGTTATATAAACTTTATTATTTAAATCTTAAATTCCCTAATGTAAATAATACTATCTACTTCAAAATGTAGTTCAAAAAATTGAATAACATAGAAATGCAATAGAGATCAACAAACTAAGCTCTCAAAAAATGCTAGCCATTCCTTTAACGACACTGCTATTCTTAGAAATATAGGTCAGGGATCTAGCTCAGCAGCACAGTGCCTGCCTAACAAGTGCGAGGTCTGAGTTTGATTCCTGGTACCAAGAGAGAGAGAGAGAGAGAGAGAGAGAGAGAGAGAGAGAGAGAGAGAGAGACAGACAGACAGACAGACAGACAGAGAAAGAGAGACAGAGACAGAGACAGAAACAGAGAGAAAGAGAGGGGAGGGGAGGGGAGGGGAGGGGAGGGGAGGGGAGGAGAGAAATATATACATTCAATAGAGTATCAAAAATTTAGAGACTCATTACAATTCAATATAACAATCTCATGAGCCATGTAAACATAAGTAACATAAATTTTGTAGGTTGATGTACATTAGTACAAAACAACAAATACTTTTTGTGTGGTACTACGGATTGAATATAGGCCTTCACACTAAGCTACAGTCCAGAACTTTATTATTTTTACATTTTGAGACAAGGCCTCACAAAGTTGCCAGTGCTGTTTGAATCTGTTTTCCTCTCACCTCAGCATCCCATAGTTTTAATATACTCCTTATATTAAAACTCTAATTGTAACTGCTGAAGAAGAAAGAACTAAACTCTGCAGTTAATCTGCAAATAATTCTGCAAGCTTTGGTAAGTGGGCATGAGATAAGGCTACAGGTGTAAGTGATGCTAACCATGCCATACAGGGCTTTATAGATGTTTGGGTTTTGGTTTAAGAACAATAAGAAGTCACTGAAAAAATTTAAGCAATGGAGTAAGTTATTTGCATTTCCAAATGATAATCTTTTTATTGAGTAGATATTGAGGTAGAAGACCAAGAGTAGATACATAAAGACTAATTAGTAGCTTAGCTAAGTAGTTAAGAGAAATAATGATTTGGATTAGAATGTTAACAATTAACATGCAAAAACATCAATGCAATGCAGTTATATTTTGCAGATAGTATTGACAGTGCCCAGATGTCTGTCCTGAATGACTGGATGAGTGTATTCACTACATAATATGATATAAAGGAATGGAAGAGAAATTGGTGTCAGAAGATGGCAGAAAAGCATGACTTTCACTTAGAGATACTCGTTAGACATCAAGTGGCATTTTCTTTGAATTTTGTTGTTTGAAAGAAAGTTTAGAGCCAGGCATATGGCACTTGCCTATAATCCCAAACTCAGAAGGCTAAGGCAGAATTACTACGAGTTCAAGGCCAGCCTGAACTACAAAGCGAGATCTGTCTCAAAAAACCAAAAACACAAACAAATGCCACAAAACAAAGACAACAATAACAACAAAAAGAAAACTGGGGAAATGTCAAAAGAGACTTTAGAATTGAGGACATACATTTGTCTGAAGCTTACTAGCAAAAAGAGCAAAGGTCCGTGAGCAGAAATGATCAAACTTAAAATTAGAAGATTAAAATCTAGTATAAGAATATGAAAGAAGATAAAGGAATCCAGAAATGAGCCCTAAGAAATTTTGACACTTAGAGAGCAGGTAGAATGAATGGAGGAGCAGTGAACAACTCGAGGAGAGCTTATAAAAGTGGGAAGAGAAGCAAGAAAGGGAAAGTAGGCAACTGTATCAGTGTTAGGAGATCAAGATCAAGTGAGGTGATGTCTCTGGTGTGTTTTTTTTTAATCTAGCTAAATGAAAAAAAATTGGTGATACTACCAAGACTGGGTTCAGTAGTTGGTGTGAACAGAAGCTGGATTAGAAAGTCTGGTAAGAAGTAAGTGGAGTGAAGATAATTCTCCAGAAAAAGACTGGTAGACAAAAAGAAAACTCCTTTCAATCACAGGGACACATAGAATGAAGATGTTTTAGAAGTGGCATTTTAGATTAAGTGCCCCAGAGCATATTTAAATGCTGTTAGGAAGAAATTCACACACGGCCAGAGGCTAAAGATACAAGAAGAGGAAATTACTAGTGGAGCGAGATCACTGAGAATGAGTAACAGCTCTAGATCAGATGGGGGGAAATAAATTTTTAAAGGCAGTACACTTCTTCTACTGGAACATGCAATAGATTGGATGAGTGCAGATGCAGACATAGTTTGTATATTTAGTAACACAAGAGTGACAAAACTCCAGCCTCATAGGACCTATATTTTAAATGAGGCATGAAGGAAGATAATCTTAATACAGTGAATGTGTGATGTCAAGTGATGAGATAGTAAGGAAAGGACAGGATGCAGTGAACCAACTCTTCTAATTTTCATGGAACAAGGAAGTTGCTGTGACTCGAGACTTTTCATAATAATATCAAGAAAGTCTAAAGAGACGATAGAGGCTGTTCATTGTAAAGTCTGAGCAGGGTAGAGGGAGTATATCCTGGACAGAGTAGGAACAAAACTCAATAGTAAAAAGAATAAATGTTGGTTGCCACAAATTTATAGCATAATAGTATATTAAGACTAAAATTAATATTGTATGTCAGGTAGAAATTTCCCAAACTTACTTTGTTCATGGTATGTTAAGTGTCACCAATTTTTTTTAATTGTGGTCCCCAATTTTCTAGTCTTCCTGTATGTCCCATTAGACAGAAGATTTTATTAGGGCAGAGACTATGACTGACTTGTTCATTTAACACTGTAGAAACAAACATATAGTTTCAACTGAATTGACTTTAAATTGCAATAGTTGTATAATACAAGCTCCCATCAAACGCTCAGTAAGTGGAAGCTAAAAATGTCCTTATTGTTATTTCTATTTTGATAGTAGGGGACAGCTCCTAGTTTCCAGACATTTGCATTGAAATAAACATTTACTGAGTGAAAAGCTCAAGTTAGAGCTAGCATATTGAATTATACCTGACACTGCAAGCCTCTCAAGTATTTCTCGACTTTATTTTCACTATCCTAAATGCTGACTTCTGGAATTTCATGTTGTGTTATTTAAATAGGTAACAAAAATCCAAGAAATTAATTGTAAACCGTCACCGTAGAATGAGGTTAAAAGTAATTTAGTAAGAAACCTTAGAAATGCCTTAAGCTAGGTCAGTTTTAAGTACAGGTGCTTGCATAGTTTCAATTCCTTGACCACTAGGTGGTGGAACAGAGTCCCAATTCTAGCAACAGAATTCTTTCAATAGGTTTGTTCTTCTCCCTCAGTGCTCACATAGGGTTTTGCATGTGAAGAAAATCCAGTACAATTCTTGAAAGCTTCGGCTTGGGAGGCAGAACGCTCAAAAATAAAAGTGGGTGGTTAAAACTGATGAGAGAGGAAAGGCGGAAACACAGTTCAAGCCCTGAGGAAGCTAAACTACATCTCCCAGGAAGCCACGGGCTGGGTTTCGCGTTACGCATTCATAGCGGCCCTTCCCAACCTGTTCCCATCCCCGCACTGTTCCCAGCAATACAGAAAGCTTCGGGGCGCAAGCTGGTGAAGCAGCTACGCCTAAACGACCACGGTATCTTGCTGAAGGTGGTGCTTCCAATCTTTGCTACCAGAGGACCAAGGAAACCCATGGCTGCCGAGTTGTGTCTCTGAGCCACGTGACCACCCCAGGTCATGTGACCTGGGAGCGCGGCCGCGGAGGTCTGTTACCCTGACGACCGCAGGCCCGCACGGACCTTCGGGAAAGCGCGGGATTCAGAGGCACAGGTTGGTGAGCTGTGGACGCTCACCTTCTAAACCACCTTGGCCGAGGTTGTGCCTTAAGGCTTTCCTTTGTCGGGTCAGGCTCCTCTTGCGCCTGGACCCTACTGCAAAGGCGCCTTCGTTTACCTGTCAGCCTCCAAACCCGCGCTTCCTGAAGCCAGGACACCGCCAGGCTGAGGGCCTTTTGGTGGATCGCGCCTCTTACCAAGCTGTTGAACAAAACCTTAACCGCGATCGCTCTGGCCTGGTCCAGAATGCTGATAAAGGGAGGAAGTGTAGTTCTGCGAATTAGGAAAGGTACGGTCAGGGCCGCTGGCCTACTTCCTTCCTCCCTTCTCTGCAAAAGAAAACTGGGGTTTATGGAGCCTCAAAGAGTTAAAATCTCGAAGTTGGGCTCTTTCTGGGGGAAAGCCGAAAGCTTTGCTTTGCAAACACCGCGTTCTGCTCGCGGCGGCATTATCTTTGTTGACCTCCGTTTCCTTACACCCCACCCCCGTAGTGCTAATTTGTGTACTCTAAAACACAAATTTGTACTTAAAGACTTTAAGTACTGAGTCTCTTAAATCTGTTTGTCTATACCTGGAAACATCTATATCTGGAAAATATATTTGACAAAACAACATGGAAAATAACTGAGTCAGGAAGCACAAACTGGTCTTTACAAGAAAAAACTGATTCTTTCTGTTTGCTAATTTATTTTTGAGATTCTCTTTGAAGACCCACATTGTGCCTGGAAGGTGTTACATAAAGTGCAAATAAATACAAGTTTAAGAAATATTGGAGATTCCACCTTTTACCAACTGGAGTTAGCAGATGACAGTTTGTAATTCTGGACCCCTAGTGGAAGTAAAGGTTTTGAGCGGCTTATTCAAATTGGTTCACTATAGAATTAGGAATCTCTTGACTAGTTTATGGGTAATAATTGTGCATCAATAGTAAGTAATAGTGAAATTTCTGAAGTTTAAGTCTGGCCGTTTTCATGATGCGATGAATTTTCTCAGTAAGTTTTTTCTTTTGTTGTTTAGCATCACTGTTGTAAATACTTCAGAATGTTTGCTTTGGGAAATGAAAATTATTGACAATGGCTCATTATTCTAAAGAAGAGCTGGATGAACAATTTGAACAGTTTATGAAGGAGGTGAGTTTATGTCTTTAAAAAGCAGTATTTAAATTTATCTCAAATTCATCTTTCAGTTCTTACCTTTAAGATAAAATCATTCTATCAACAAACTGTCGACTTTACCTCAGAATATACTTATCATCCCTCTGATGCTGCTCCACCTGTTAATTGAATACCATCATCGCACCTGGCCTCTTGCAACTATTACCAACCAGTGACCTTCCCCACACCCAGATGAGCTGTTATTTTCATCAGACTCTTCAATCCCAGGGTAAAACCATATCTTCCTGTCATATGTAGGGTAAAATCCAAACTGGTGTTACCTTATGAAGGCTGCCATAGTTTTGCTTATATCTACCTTACTTAGTTATATCATGCTTTCCCTTCATCCACTTTATTTATTTTTTTTTTTTTGTGGCCTTTTTTCCCCCAGGCATGTCACCTGTTTCGCCTTAGGATAGTGGTGGTGAACCTTTAAGACCTTTCAGTGATAACTTACACAAGCTGCAGCAGCATGTGTGCCATAGGCTAGCCACCGCTGTTTAGAGGCTGTGTGCTGCCTGTTCCCTCCAGCAACAGTGTTGTTAACTAATTCCTTTCCTGATTGGTGAAGATCTTACTTTAAATGTTAGTGCCTCAAAGAAGCTTTTTCTGATGACCTAGTGAGAAGTAATGCAGTTTTTTACTCTATCATGTACGTAATTCCTTACATACCACTTATCACCATTCATTATTTTTCTTCTGTGGGTCTGTTTTCTACTTTATAAGAACACATGGTCTGTGACATGATAGTTAATCTCTTTGTCAAGTATGCAGGACCTAAAAGATGCTTAGTAAATATCTTTTGAATGAGAAAAGGGCTATGCCACATGCTCTGTATTTTCATTCAGGGAAGTGCTTATTCTTCAGTCATTAATCAGCTTTTTAAAATTAGCTTTAATAAGATAACATTGACTCATTTAAAATAGGTATTTTAGGTGGTTTTACACATATAAAACCAATGCCACAACTTGTTTTGGAATATTTTTGTCACCCCAGAAAGAAACCCTGTATCTATAGCAATTATACCCAATTTCTCCTGTTCCTCAGCCTCAGACAATATTCATCTAAAGATTTGCCTATTGTGAACATTTCGTAGATGTGAGTTACATCATATATGCTCTTTAGAGTCTGGCTTATATTATTTATCATAATGTTTTCAGGGTTCACCCATGTGGTAGCATGTATTAGTACCTCATTTCTTTTTCTAATGTTTCGTTGTATGGCTGTGCCACATTTTGTTTATCACTCATCAATTGGTGAACATTGGGGATCTTTCCACTTTTTGGCAGTTTTGGATAATGTTGTCTGAATAATCATAACATTATCAAAAATAGATGTATGTTTTTAAATTCTTATAATTGCTGAGTTATATGGTAACTCTGTGTTTAGCTTTTGAGGAACTGCCGGACTATTTTCCAGAGTGACTGTGCTATTTATATTCCCACCAGCCATGTATTATTTTATGAAGGTTCTAATTTCCCCGTTTGCTTATAAACACTATTACTGAGGATCAGGTTTTTTTTTTTTTTTTTTTTAATAGGGGGTACTGGGAATCAAACTCAGGACTTGGCACTTGCCAGGCAGGTTCTGTGCTGCTGAGCTGGCCCCATGTTTTGTTTTTAATGATAGTAATTTGGAAAGCAATGTAAAAGGTGTTCAAGGCCAGAACACTTACAGTGGGTATTCTGTTTCCTTTTCTAATTTTTCTATAGTGCTGCAAGATTAGTGGCCTGTGCCTATGTTATAGATTAATCAATTGGAAAAATTGGGGGAGGAAAGAGAAGGGGAACATTTCAAGGTAATATGATGCTTCGAGTTTAAGTGGAAAATGATGCAACTAGCCAAAAAATTGAAACGAAATGTTTTTCTGCCCTCCTCTCTTTGTATTTGCCAATGAAGAGGATGAGGTCTTTTTGAAGATTTTAACATTGACATTTTTGCAAGTTACTGAGATAGTGTGTTTTATTTGGCAGGTAGGAATCTGTGTGGTCATTTTGGAAGTTATTAATGTCATAGTTTGAGGGCATGGTATAGCAGAAAATAGACAAGCTTTAGTCTGAATTTATGTAGTCTAAATGCACATCCTGACAAGATCAGGCATGTAAATGTGTATTTTGGCTCCAGAAAAAAGTGTGCAGAATGAGGATAAAAAAGGATCAAGAACATAGTCTCTTACTGAGGAAATGAGCGAAACAGCCGCAAGCTATTAAAACAGTGGGAATTGCCACAGAGCTGCGGAGGCGCAGGGTGGACATCATACAGGTGAGGCCCAAGAGAGATTCAAGAAGTACGTTTGTCACCAGAATGAAATTCCATGATGAGACCTTGGAAGATGACTGCCAGGCGGCCTGCATTTATGCTGTTTAGGAGGCCTTAGATACCTGCAGTGAAGCCAGTTTTGTGGAAACTAAATCCTGAAGGGTTGAGCAGTTTATTCAAGAATTGGTTATAAAGGAAAGTGATGGTGTAAAAGGGAAACAGGAATGAGAAACTTAACCTGTTTTGTTTTATTTTATTTTCAAAGTAGAGTAGTCTGGAGTATCAGTCTTTTACTCCAGAGACTTGCCCACTGCTGGGCCTGGACTTGTGTGGGGTTTGTAGCGCCCAGCAGCTTTCTGACCTGAGGGGAGGGGCCGAGTGGAGAGCAAAGGGAGGGGAGGCCCAGAGATGAAGTGGGAAGCAGGGCGTGGCCCGGGGAAGAGAAGTGACTTCTCTGCGGGTGCTGTCCGGAGTGGAGGAGAGAACTGTCCCCTGAGTAAATTCAGAGGTGGAGGGAGGAGAGTGGGCGAGTGCCTTACTAAGATCTGCATGTCCTCAGTGGAGGTGTAGGCCACCTTAATAAGAGAGGAAAATACTGAGATACGAGTAGGAGATTTAGAAGTGTAAAATTTTGAACTGATGGGTAGATGAAAATACAAGTTTGTTAATCTGTGGGACAAAATGCTAATTTCTGTAGTCAACATCATTATCCTCTGCACCCAAGAAATTCGGTTCTTCCTTGTCTTGGAATCCCGTGTCCTTCTGGACTAAGTCTAAGTCATTTTGCTTAGCCTCCGCTTTATCTTAGACCCTAGACTACATCTCAGCAGGATGGTATCCTTCCTTTTCTTTCTTTTGCTAAACAAAGACCTTGATCAAGTTTTCCTTCTGTTCTAGTTTATTCTTTCAATTCCGGGTATGAAATCAACATTCAAAGACATATGCTTGATGTTTGAGCTATTTGACCACATATGCTTATTATCATTTCTGAAAATATGTGTAACTGAACATTGAAAGAACTAATAGAGAAGTACTATTCTTATTTGTGCTAAATCTGGAATTCCTTACAATATAACTTATTTAGCAGTTTGTGTCTGATTTAGCTTTCAGACGATTCTTTTGACAAGTCAAACAGAACACCTAGACAACCTACAGAAGGAGTGAAGAAGAAAGATACAGTACCTTGGTGGTTAACTGAAGATGATGGTAAGTATTGTTGATGTTTAGTTTTAAATTACCTGACCACAAGGGGTCAGTCAACTCTTACAGTTTTGGTTTTGATTATATTTCTATATGTATTTATCTGATAATATAGATTCTTGAGGTTTGATTTGACTGTCATATTACAGTACTTCACTTTATCTGCTATGTAATTGAGAAGATGTTTTTACATCAAATTATTTTACATTGAGATTTAGATTTGTTCATATTGAGGTAATGAATAATCCAGATATATATATATATATATATGTATTTGTTATATTTAATGGTAAATTGATTCAGTAAAATTCTGGCAGTGTGTTAACAGAAACCCATGGGTATGGTTTTAAAAATCTGTTGATTTTTGTATTATATTAATACCTTTAAAAATAGATTACTGCCTTCATGGCAAAAAAAAAAAAATCAGTATTGATTCTGTCTGGCACATACCTATCTTCTCTGGAATATTCCCAGTTACATCTTTACAGATGCAGAATTACTCTGAGTGATTTCTTACACTTGCCTTTAGTAAGTGAGCCTTCTGTGACTGCCGCACTATGATTTACGGTAACTATATATCATATATGGTACCGTATATGGTGTATTTATTGTGTATAACAGTGCCGTATCTATAAAGAACCCAGACTACTTTTATTTAACTATTTTTCAGTGTGTAGATCGGTGTCAAATGCCATTTTGTAAACTGATAGAATTTCTGCATCTCTTCTCCAGGGGAAAATTTACCTATGGCCTGTTTTTGCCATAAAATTAAGTCTGCTGCTGAGTGTGGTGGCACAGGCCTGTAATCCTAGCACTCTGGGAGGCTGAAGCAGGAGGATCGTAATCCCAGTGTGAGCAACTTAGTGTTTTGTGAGACTCCATCTCAAAATAAAATTTAAAAATGGGGGCTGGAGGAGTGTTCTCAGGTGTGGCCCAGAGCGAAGGCCCTGGTTCAACCCCTAGTGCCGCTGGGAAGCAAAGAGAGAGAGTCCCAACTTCTTGATGTGACAGTTGGGACTCTGTACAGCCTTAACTGGAAGCTTCCCTTCCTGCCCCATGGGCTGCGCCCGTGCCAGTTACTCCACATACCCTGTAAACACCTTTTCTCATCTCTGTGCCTTGTCATCCTTTCTTGCCGTTATAGTGCTTTCCTCCTGCCTCAGCCTCCCTGACTGTGGGGATTGTAGGCGTCCACCCCAGAGGTGCAGTCCGCAGATAACAGAGGGCTGCCTGTGCTGTTAAAGAACTTTTGATATTGTGCAACCTGCATTGTTTCTTTACTCTTGGAATTAAGAACGGAACTTAGCCCTGGCTCCGGAGGTGGGCGGGGCATGCCCATTGACTCTAGCTGTAGGCTTACTTTCTCCAGCATGGCTCATCTGTTTGCATCCTCAGCTTTGGCCTGCTTTTCCCATTGTTAAACCCATGTACTTACTATTTCTCCTGCCTTTGGTTATGTCTCTTTCCCAGTTTACCTAGTTACCTTTTACTCTCTCTTTTCATTTTAGCAGAATTGTTACTTCCTTACAGAAATACTCTCGAGTTTTCCAGTCACAGTAAAACCCCATCCCCATTAATACCGCTTCCCTTCAGAGTTGTAGGGTTGAGCCAGGGACATAGCTCAGTGACAGGGTACCGGCCTGGCAGGTGTGAGGTCCTGAATTCAATTCCCAGTTCAGAAAACAAAAAAACTCCAGGCTTGTAATTCATATTTAATTCTCCTCTGCAGACCCTGATGCTTCCTAGTAACCTCCAACGTTTACTGATTTCTTTCTCTCATCTTCTGTTAGACTTTAAATGGTTTTTCTTCATTGCTTCTTCTAGACCTTTCTCCCTCCAGCCTCCTACAAAGCATATCGTCAGAACCACTGCTGCTTCTCCTTGTGGCATTGTCTACTAATGTCCAAGTTAGTCTTATTCTTCAAAGACACTAGTTCCTGTTTTGCTGTCCAGACCTGTTGTGTAATTCTGGTTGGTTTTATTAAGGACATAATTAATCCCTTCAGTACCCTGACTTTTGAGTTCCTTGAACTTTTCTACACCAAAAACCTGATCATCCCTAGTATTCCCTCTCCAGTCCCTCTAACAGCTTTTCAGGTCACTAATCATGAAATCCAGTAGCCTGCAAGCTATGACCCTAGCCCTGTGCTGTGACTTCTCTGAGCTCTCAGTTTTCCCTTGCTGATGCCATTTTAATTCCTGGCCTTCTGATATGGAAGCTTTTTACATGTTTCCTTTCATTTCACAAACACTCTTCCTCTAAGTATTGCCATGGATTGACCCCTCGTCTCCACCAAGTCTTAGCTCAATGTCAACTTTTCCTTGATGGTGTTCCTTGCTACCCTCCTTAAATGGTGCAGGATCCTTACTCCTGCGTTCCCTATCCCTCTTGTTTTGATTTTCTTCTTTGCACTTGCCATTTTTTAATGTGATATTTGATTGTAATGTACTTACTTCTTTTACTTTTGCCTGTCTCCAGCCACATAAATGTAAGCTTCATAAGGGCCGGAGTTTTTCTGTTATATTCACTATAAATCCCCAGCATTTAAAACCGTATCTGGTAGGTAGCAGGCACCAGGGAATATTTGTTGTTTGTAGTCTCCCTCTTCAAACTTTAGGTTTCATAATGGAAAGGATAATCCCTATATGGCTGGTATTCATTCTGTTCTAGGGACACAATTTATCAAATCTGAATAAAATAGATAATATTTGAAACCCATGTAAATATAAATTACAGGTTTTGCCCATGATTCATGTAACATTTTTAAAACTTTATTTAAAAACAGTTTTTGAACCTATTGAGAAAAAAGTGGAATATACCCATTGCTTTCCTAGTAATCGTAAGTAACTCGTGGCTAGTCATGTTTCATGTGTATCCTCTCTCCACCCCACTGTTTATATTCGAACAAATCTCACCATATCACTTTTGCCACAAAGTCTTCAAAGTATCTCTTAAAATAACGTCTCTGTTTAAAGAAATATTATACAAGAAATATGATAATAAGTTTTTAATGTCATCTGATGCCTAGTCAATCATAAAACACTTAATGCTTTTAATATAGATTAGCTTCTGAGAAAATTTCACATTCCAAACTGCTGTGAGAGATTGTGATAACTTCGCTCCCTCAACAGTAGACACCCTGCTGTGCTAAGAATCTCTCCTATACATAGCCACTGTTCTTAATGTTGTAAAATAAATGACTTTTTACAAGTCTTTTAAGAATATTTCCATCTTGTTAATGACACTAACAAAAGGTCTTGTCCAGCCCCTGTACTTGTCCTTACTTACACTGCTTTGCCTTTCATGTGTTGTTTGGCTGCTTCATGCTGTTGTTTTTTTTTTAAAGTTACACAAGTCAACAAAAATTTTGTAATTAAAGCAAACAAGAGGGAATAAGGTAGGAAAAAATGGCAAACTGCATTAGCTATTTATACTTCAAAATAATTTTTTAAAATCTTGTGTAAACTTTTGAAATATTCCATTTATAAAAGATTCACTACAGTCAAGCGGAATTAGAGTTTTTCTTTGTGAATTCTGTGTACAATGGATTTTTATTTAATAGATTTATTTTTTAGCTGCTATGCACAATTTAACATAATAGTAATACCCTGTTGTCATATTGATCAAAATGGTTCTCTTGGCATAAATACCCAACCATGTTAAATCCAATTCTTAGGACTACTTGGAACAAACATAAGCTATTTGAAGACAAAGAAGACTTCTCACCCAGCGATGGAAACAGAAGAAGAGTCTGCTGAAAAATCTCAGCTTCTTAAGAGCAGTGGAACATCTATCTTAAGTGTTGACAGTTTGGAGACAAATGGTAAGAATGTAAAGAATATGCGTTGATAAACTATTAATATACTTATATTCATAATTTTACAAAAATTAACTAATGACTGTCTTGGAGCCTCTTTTACTGAACCATATAGACAGATTTAGTATCTTCTCAGATGTTTAGAATTACAGATCTGGAGAATCCTTAAATTCTATAATACTGATTTTGATTACAAAGTTACTTGAGAGATTGGTAAACTATTTGTAAAAAATCTTCATTTTACTGTGTAATGTTAATAAATGTATCACTTAAATTTTATCATAATTCTGTGTATTAATAAAGTGTGTTTGTGCTTTCCATTTAGAACTCATAGTTTCTGAGCTCAGTCATAGTGTTCTTGGATTGGGATTGGACACGTTAGAAGAACAAGAAGAGAAAGAACAATTTTTTTCCAGGCTTGAGAAAGGCTTGACATCATCCATTGACTATTCAAGGTTAAACAAGGAATTGGATTCCAATGACTCCACACATTTTAAAGGTGTAACCAGGTAAAGTAAATACAATGTAAGTTATTAACTGACTTTTGTGTTTTTCCTGTATTTTTGGAAGGCTGACGTATGCAGTGACTCATAGAAAAACCTAACAGTCAAAATTAACTCTTCTCTTTTTTGTTATGGTCAGAGTTTTTCTTGTGTATGAACAGAGTGTCTTAATTTGTAGTGTGAAACCCCATTCTACCTATAAATACCTGAAATTTCATACTTAAGATATTGTTAAAACTGTTGGTACAATGTCCTTACTAGGAAAGGAATTAAGTGATTTTCGACAAGTAAAATGGAGGGGGGGGTCCAGATTACCATTATAAACTCAGGAAAAAATAAAATACAAAAATAAAAAATACAAGTCAGTCAGTACTAGGATGTCTTACCTATGTGTGGTTGACTTGTGGTTTTCAGGGCACTTCATTAATCCTGGAAATCTTCCTAGTTGACTAAGCTGTTCCTCTCTCAAGATAATAGACCATTCTCAAGACCTTTGTGATACCTCAGCTCTTTAATGTCCTCACATTAGTCATCTATGTAATTATTTTGTTATAAATGGAAAGCACATTATGATTTTATGTTAGATTTGCAGAATACAAAAGTGTAATTGAGAGTGAGAAGCTTAACTGCTGATTATTAGCCTGGTGCCAGCATGATTAATTTCTTACATGATGAAGCAGTACATTTACTAGCATGAAATGTTTAGGGTCTGAAACCGATATCTTGCTTACAAACTAACAGATTAACCTTCTCATTTTATGGATATTGACAGTAAACATGAAATTCCTCAGAGAAGCAGAGGATCTTATTTCTTACCACAAAAGTAATAACCCACTGTCTGTTTATCTGAACTGATTCCTGTGCCCCAAAAGTTTTACCAGGGCAGACAAAGGATCCACAGTGTGTCCTCTGCACATGCAGTGGGTTGTGTTGTAGAAGAGAAACACTGAGCTTGGGGAATCTATTACTACTTTTATAGTAAATGGAAGTAAGCTTGCTCTTGGGGTGGAAACATTACTCACAGCTCAAGATTGATTACTACAAACATACATTGAGAAAGACTTAGGTAAACAATGGTCAGGACCTTGCATTGTTGAGGTGCCTGGAAAGAACATGAAGGGGCACTCATTGCCTATAGTCCTTGCCTCTGTCAACAGTGACAATACAGATTAAGTGTTTATCGGGTTTTTGGCTTGAATATGGATCTTCCTTAACTTTGAATTTTCTGTAACTTTTTCTTATTAATAACGTTCTTAAGTATTTGTATTTTTGATCCAGAATAGGCTAGTCAGTATGTGGCATGGCATTGAGTATATAGTATTAGCAGTTTGCAGCTATTATTGTCATATTCTTGTAGTTTATCAGGTATGCTAATGATTTCACTGAAGACAGAGTTAATTGATTGGGAAAGGTAGAACTGACTCAGTTTGAAAGGACTAATTAGTAAATGAACTAATATGTCCTGTGTAATCAAAACATGCTCAAGCTCATTTGTCCCTTGCTTTTGAGTCTTGATTTAAGACTCCTGTTTGCTTCTGTTTCAAGGTTAAATTGGATATTGACATGTAAGATGAATAGTTTTTCCTTGGTCGTTACATAGACTTCACTGGATATCATAACTTGAGATGAATTCTTAATCTTTAGTAAAGAAAGAATTTCTAGATTTATAAAATAATGTTTATACATACAGATGCAAATATTTATGTACTAAATTGCCCATACTTGTACATAAATTAAGAAAAACTGCATTTTTTTATTGTTTGCATAACTATAGTTAGCCTTAGACTTTGAGGAGCCTTTATTTTCAAAACATTTTTCGTTTTGGTTTTGATGAAACAAGAATACTTGAGACATAATTTTATGTTAATTAAATATTTTTTCCAGTTTTGAAGCTAACATAGGACTAACTGAAGATGAGCATGAGAATGAATCAAAACATGAACAATTGCCAGGTAATTCTATTGGTCTTTGATTTTATAATATGTGAGAAAGAGCTTTGAACAGTTAGAGTGGAGTTGCCTGTGTTATAATCGGAGCTGCTAATTAATTATCCAGAGTGAATTACTATCTCATTTATTGGGAGCAGGCAGTGGATCAGTTGGAAAGACAGGAGAAAAGGTGTTTTTTTTTTTGTGCCAATACTGGAAAATTGAAGCTCAGACAAAAATCTGCTGAGAACATGGCAGTGCGCAAATACACCTTTTTCATATATTGACTTTGAGTGTGTCTGCACTATTTATACTTAAAATAATTTTCTTGTGAGGGACATACAGCTGGGTTTTGCTTTTTTATTTAGTATGTCTACCTCTGACTTTTAATTTTCTACCCTTTACAAAAATGTATTTTTGATATGGATTGTTACTGCTTTGACATTGTTTTCTTTCTATCACTTTTGTTGCTTTTGTGCTGCATTCTATTGAATCATATTCCATCTTTTTTTATTTGTACATATTTTGGTACATAATGTTTATGATCTTTGTGAGGAATTTTGGTACATGTAGATTTTACAACTTTTTAAAATTTTATTCGTACTTTCTGGCAGTACATGAACTGTACTTTCATCTTGGGGGTAGTTGCATGTATGTAACATAATTAATGTAACAATTCTTTTTTAACCCTTTCTTTCCCCTCTTCTTTCCTCCATCTCTAAATTCCCTTGTCCCATTTTCATTCTTATTGTTACTATTTAATTCATTTTTATGACACATAATATTTACATTAATTGCAGATATTTAGTACATGTAATTGACACATCTTAAAGTATTTTACTTCCTTTTCTCATTTTCCTGGATCCATCCTGACTTGCAAAAGATGTATCTCCTTGTTTCCTTCATAAATCCTTTCTTTTGCCTTTCATATGTATTTTGCCTTGCTCAAATGAGAGATACCATACAATATTTAAGTTCTTGTGTGTTGTATTTCTCTTAAGATTGTATTTTCCAATTGTATCTGCTGTCTAGAATTTGTCTTCTATAGCTAAGTACTATTCTATTATATATACTAATACCACTTTTTTTTTTATCCATTCATCTGTTAATGGGCATACAAGTCACTTCCAGGATTTAGCTATTATGAATTGTGCTACTGTAAGTATTGGTATTTGTATATCACTATAGTGTGATGTCTCCAGCCCTTTTGGAAAGATACTTAAAAGGGAATAGCTGGGTCAAATGAAATTTCTAGTTTTAATTTTTTGACAATTCTCTGTTTTATTTTTTAGTTTAATTCATGGTGAGAAATATGGGTCCAGCTTCAGTCTTCCATAAATAGCCAATTTTCCCAGCACCATTTGCTGAGCAGACTGTCCTCCAACTTATGATTTGGGCCACTTTGTCAGAGATCAAATAGTCAAATATATCTGGAGGTGTTCTTGTATCTTCTATTCTGTTCCATTAATCCACAAGTCTGTTTTAGTTCCAGAATGTGCCGTTTTTATCATGCTTTGGAGTTAGGTGTTGTAATGTTTCCTGCTTTGCATGTTACCCAGGATTACTTTCGTGTTCTGAGTCTTATGGTTCCTATGGAGTTCAGGATGGTTTTCTCTAGGTCTATGAAGAATGCTGTTGGGGTTGCTCTGAATCTATATATCAGTTTTGTGAGTAGGGTCATTTGGCAAATACTGGTTCTACCTATCCAGGAAGAGGGACCATCCTTCTATTTTCTGCTATGCTCTTAGATCTTTTTTTCAGAAGACTAGTTTTCTTTGTAGATGGCTTTTGCTACCTTGGTTAGTTTAATTGCTAGCTGTTTCTCTTGATGTTACTATAAATATATTTTCCTAATTTCTTTCTCATTGAATCATTGTATTGATTTTGTAACATGCTAAATTGCTGAATATGATTATTTTGAGGTTTTTGGCAGAATTCTTTGGGTTGTCTTCGTAAAGTATAGTATCATCTGCAGTAATAATTTTACTTATTTCTTTCCTGTATGTGTCCCTTTATTTCTTTCTCTTGCCTGATTACTCTGGCTGATGCTTCTAGTACTATATTGAACAAAAGTACAGATACAGGCATCCTTGTCTTGTTCTTGATTTTAGATTTCGATGTTTTACCATTTAGTATGATGTTGGCTGTTGGTTTATAAATGGACTTTTCCTAGATTCAAATAAGGTCCCTTACCTACTTTCTTCAAAGTTTTTATCATGAAGGGGTGTTGGATTTTGTCAGAAACCTTTTTTGCATCTTGATATGGTCATGTGGTTTTTGTCCTTGGTTTATGTGACGTGTTGCATTTATTTATTTGCATGTACTGGACCATCTTTGCAATTCTGGAACGACACCTATTTGGTTGTGATGTAACTGCTTCTTGGTTATGATGAAACTACTTGACATGATCCTTTTGATGATGTGTTTCATTTTATTTTCTAGTATCTTGAAAGTTTCGCATCTGTGTTCATTAAGGAGATTTCCCTCTCATTTTCTTTTTTCATTGCATCTTTGTCTGGTTTGGGGATCAGGCTGCTGGCTTCCAGAAATAAGTTTGGAACCAATCATTCCAACTTCATTTAAGAGTTTGAAGAGTACTGATGATGTATCGTTCTTGAAGCCTTTGGCGAATTCTGCAGTGAATTCATCAGGTTCTGGGTTGTTTTTAGTTTTTTTTTTTTTTTTTTAATTACTGTCTTAATTTCATTGCTTGTTACTGAGCTCAGTGTTTTTTTGTCTTCTTGGTTTTGTTTTGGTAATTTGTTCAAGAGTAGCAGCTGTTTCCTCAAGGTTTTCCAACTTCTGAGCATACAAATTTTCGTGATAGTTACTGTCTCCTGGGCTTCACCATGTCTGTTGTAATTTCGCCCTTTCACTTCTATTGCCTCAGTAAGGCTGGCTAAGGCTTTTTCTATTTTATTTATTCTTTCAGAGAACCAGCTTTATAAATTGTTGATTCTCTGTAATGTGTTTTTAGTCTAAATTTCTTTAATTTCCATTCTGATCTTTATGATTTCCCTTCTTAATTTTAGTTTAGGCTTGGATTATTATTTTTCAAGTGTCTTGAAGTTCCACAGTAGGTTATTTATTTGGCTGTCTCTGTTTTGCTAATATAAGCTATTATTGCAGTGAAGTGCCATTTTAGAACTGCTTTCTTTGTGTCCTGAAGTTTCTGGTATGTTGTACTGCCATTGTCATTTACTTCCAGAAATAGTTCAATTTCTTCCTTGATTCCTGTGACCTACTGATTGTTCAGGAACGTGTTACTGAGTTGTCAAGTGCTTCTAAATTTTCTGTAAATTTTTTTCTGTTATTGATTTGTATTCTCATTGCATAGTGGTCTCATAGAAACCTTTGGTAGTTCAGATTCTTGCATATCTGTTTAAGCAGCCTTAGTAAGTGTCTTAGTTACATTTCTCATTGCAGAAACAAAATAACCTAATACCCAAAGTTAAAGAAGGAAAGGTTTGGCTTGCGTTTGTAAAGGTGTCAGTCACTTTGGCTAGCTGCCAAGGCAAAGGGACATTGCAGAGGAATAGTCCACCCCAAGCAAGTGACGGCAGCAAGTCCAAGCACCCTTAACAGCTTCTTTATACCCCTTTTATATAAGTTACAGGCTTTGGGCAAGTACCCAAAGTCGGTGGACTGATTTAGTAATTACACAACCTTAATCCCAGCACCTCTTAATGTTAGCATTGCACCGTGAATCAGTCACACACTCTAGATCCAGCCACTTCTAAAAAACGCCCAAACTGTGACCACGAGAGGCTTTGGAAGGACATCACAACACAAGTGAAACAGGTAGTATGTGATCTACCTTAGAGAAGATTTCATGCACTGTAAAGGATATAAACTCTGTTGTAGTAGGATGGAACATTCTAGATATCTAGTAAGGTCATATTTTCAAGGGCGTGGTTCAGCTCTGTTTCTTAGCTGATTTGTTTAGTTGATTTGCCTCTTCGTGAGAATACAATGTTAAGAACTCCCACTATGATTGTGTCTTTATTTGTTCTTTTATGCCCAGTGTGTTTGTTTTATGTAGATAGCTGTTACTATGTTTGGTGCATATATATTTACCAGTGTTAGCTTTTCTCATTGGTTTTTTGCCTTGGTTGCTTTTGTGGTTTTTATCCAGGATATTCTTTATTTTCTGGAGTGGTGGTTTGATATTCATGTATCTCTTGAGTTGTTCTTTTTGTTCTATGTATTTTGAGGGAAAGTTTTGCCAGGTATGTTAATGTAGGTTGGAAACTGCTTTTAGGGCTTGAAATACTTTACTCCACGCTCTTTTGGCATGTGAAGTTTCTTCTGAAAAATCTGTTGTAATTCTAGTAGGCTCACCATTTATATGTGACTATTTTTTCTCTGATTGCTTTTTAAAATACTGTTTTTATTGTTAGACATCTGGCATTGTTTTAGGTAGCTTCTTTTTTTAATCACACTCAAGGTTCTGCAGGGCTCACTTATTTGTAAGCTGAACTCTTTTCTTATATTTGGGAAGTGTTCTGCTTTGGTTTCTGTAAACTAATTATCCCTTGGGCGTTGTCTACTAGTTTCTCTCTAATCCAGGTAGGTTTATGTTGGTCTTCTTTGTGTTACCTCATTGCTGATAGATGAGTTTTTCTTGTTTCTTTTATCTCTTTGTAGCAAGCTTCTCTGCTGCATCATCATAATTTACTATTTTGTCCTCAATTTTAAGAATCTTGTCTTCCCATTGATCATTTCTGCATGAATTCTATAGTTTTCTGTCTGATTCCTTTTTAGTTCTTATCTTTGGAAGATTTGTCATTCATGTTTTGAATTGCTTTGGTCAGCTGTTCTAATTTTTGTTTCCCCAAATCCACAATGATCATTTTGTGTGATAATGCCATAAGCTTTTGAGTCATGTCCTATTTGAACTTTGTTTCTTTATCTCTGCTTTAAATAATTCATAGAACTTTGCTACTTGGTGTTTACTTTCATGTCTATTTATGCCCCATAGATCTGCTATGGGAGAGTTGAGAGACATTGGGGGTCTTTGGATGCCTTGTTTTCCCATAATCTGTGTATGTGATTTTTTTTCCTTTTTTCTTTTTATTTATTTATTTATTTATGTTTTTTGGTTTTTTGGTGCTGTGAGTTGATGTCCTTGTAATACGAAAAGAGCTTATAGTCAATATGAAGATATTTTTAATGAGATGCTACCTTCCTATGACGTATTTTTGGCTTAATTTGTCCAGAAATTTATCCCTTCAGCCCTTTAATGTAAGCAATTTGGACTCTAGTTTTGAGGAAAGAATTGTTTCTAGTTCTAGCAGCATAAACAAAACTGTAAAAGTAACCGAGCCAAAAACCAGTTATATGTTGTTTACATGTGACAGACCTTGGCATTTACTGCATTTCTTTTTTTTTTTTTGGGGGGGGGGTCTGTAGTTTTTTTTCTAATTGTCCTCTGACGAACAATGCCATATGTATGTACTTACAGTCTGCTTATACCTATTAGAGCCTACTTTTAAATAACTACTATGTCACTTCCATGAACAGGAAACCCTTCCATTTTCCTATTTTGTCATTCATTTTCTTCTACATATCTTAAATCTTGCAGTATTATAGTGCTTGGTAATAGTTATTTTGAAATATTTTAAATATAAAAATGTATTTATATTAAGCTGTGTATTTCCCCACATATTTACCAAGGACTTTGTATTCTTTTGTATGGATTTCAGTTTCTATCTCAAATTATATTTTAAAATATATGTTACAAACCTCCTATAACATTTCTTTCACTTCAGTTACTGCTAGGAACAAATTTGCTCAGCTTTAATTTGCCTAAAATATATTTTTCCTTCATTGTTGAAAAATACTTTTGCTTAATATAGAATGTTTATAGTTTTCAGGTTTTTTTTTGTTTTGTTTTGTTTTTTTAAGTTAAACACTTTGATTCCATTCTGTTGTCTGGTGACTATATTTCTAATGAGAAGTCACTGGTAATTACTGTTACTTAGTATATTCAGTCATCATTGTTTTGTTTGTTTGGTCTTTTGAACCAGGAATTGAACTCATGACCTCGTACTTGCCAGGCATGTACTTATGCTGCTGAGCTAAATCCCCGGCCCAGTCATCATTGTTTGTGAGGGACTGGTTTCAGTGTCTCGTAGAAGTACTCAAATCTTCAGATATACAAAGTCCCTACTATTTGCATATAAACTATATATCCTTCCATACACTGTATCTGTAATTTACCTATATAATACCTCATATAGTGAAATAATTCTTATACTGCATTGTTTAGGGTATCATGAGAAGTAAGTCAGTATGTGTTCAGTGCAATTTTTTTTACTATTGGTTAAATTCACATATTTAGAACTCACAGATACAGGTGCTGTTACAGTGCTGTTTTTTTTTTTTTTTTACGATTTTTAAAATTTTATCTTTTGATGGCTTGATGTATGTTTGTGTGCCTTTTTTGTATTTGTCCTGTTATAACTTGATCAATCATCCTTGGTTTTATAGGTTTCATCAAAATAAAAAATAGTTGAACCATTAAATCTTCCAACATCATTTCTGCTTCTTGCCCCCTTACCACCTGCTTCTAAGCCTCAGTATGTTAGGAAACTTAATTTTGCATCCAAAGTCACTAAGACTCTGCTGTATCTTGTAATACATTCACAATGGGGCAATATTCATACGTCTTGCTGCCAGGCAGTGGTACATTCATGACTACTAACATCCATGTACCACTGATGGTTTAGTCTGGCAGAAACGTGTTAAAACTTTCATTTTTTTTCTGTGTTTCAGTTTCTATTGCTGTGCCTTCAAATTCATTGATCTTTAATCTGATGTTTATACCACTCATTCTTTCTTTCTCTTTGACTCTAGAAATTCCTTTCAGATTTTTCAAAAGCATCTTTTTACTGTCTTTTCTAATTTTTTGTTACATGCATAAGTACTTAATATTAAGTATACTCTACAATATTGAATTCAGTATCTCTTTCTATAACCTGCTTTTGTTTCTACTTACGGATACTTCGTTTTGTTTCATTGGATATTGTACCTGATAATTGAGCATTCTGAATGTATTTTTTTAAATTGTTGAACTTTGTTATTATAGATAGTTGATCCTTTTGAGGCTTTTCCTACATTTGGTAGGAGACTTCTGGAACAGCTACCATAGCTACATGTAACCCTCCTCCTAAGTCTCCTCCTCCTAAGTTTTCTACTGGAGGCTTCTGGTGATCAGTGAAGACCTTCTGCTCAAGCACATTAGAGCTTAAGTGTCTCCCTGCCCTGTGTGAACTCTGGAAATTGTCTAACCTTCAGCTTCCCCATTGTTCTTGGCTCAACCAAGTATTAGCATTTCCTGAAGGTTGACTTAGTAGTAAAGCACTCTGTGCAGATTTCTGTTTCATATTTACTTTTATTAATTACTAGTCTAGAACTTGTCATTACCTCATTCTCTCTGAACTATCTCCTCATCTCAGTAAGACTGTCCTCCCCCTCTTTTCCAAGAGTGCAGAATGGACATCAATGGTCCAATGACTGAAAAGGTTTTTCATATATTTTGTCAACTTTGCTGTTTACGAAAGTTAAGTACAGTTCTCTTAACTTTTACATAACAGGAAAAAGCTCTCTAGATTGCGTTATACTTAGTCTACAGCCAACAAAGGATGAAAAATATCTCCAAAACATCTCTTTCAGATCTTTTACATTGAATATGGTTTACTTTTCTCAATATTTGAAGAATATGCTTATACAGATAATATTTTAAAATTACAAGGATAAAAAATATCTTGAGTTATGTAATGTCTTCTTGCCAAAAAGGTCAGAACACTACAAGTTGACATCTCACTTTTTGAAACAGTGTGGTGGGGCCTGGATTTTAACTTACTATTATTAAGTACATTTGTTAGTGCATGTCAACTATTCTAAACACTTTTAATTCTTAATCTCAGCAGTCATTTGAGCTAATAGTGTTGTCATCCCTACTTTACAGATGGAAAGAGCAAGTCCACGAGAGTTTGTGACCTCTCAGTTCATTAGTTGAAAGTAGTAGAACAACAAACGGAATCCAGGCCCTCTGGCCCCAGACCATACTGTTAACAAACGCTACACCTGCTGAGCTGTCTCTTACACTGCTTGTATCCAGTCACACACGTACTGTAACCCTTTCTATCAATTCCAAAATCCCCACTAATCATTCGGGTTCCGTGTCATACTCTCCTATATCTCCTCTCTCCTTATTCACCTTTCTTTCCTTAGGTCTAATCTTTGAGGTAACTTAAAATTCAGTGCTTCTCCACCTAGAATATGAAAATTTTAATCATTTTATATTGGACCTATCACCTACAAGTTATGTCTAATACAAAGTAGCATTACTAGTATTAGCTCTTTACAGTTTTGCAAGTTTGATTATGTCCTCTGATATTTAGAAAATCCCAAATAAGTGTTCCTCTTATATAGGGGGAAAAAGTGAATCATAGAATATACGTAATGTTGTATTTAACCAAGTAATTTACCTTGTCTACCTGCATTACAACACCCATCCTGCTCTAAACTCACTTTTTAATAAATTAAAGTGGAGATGTCTCTATAGCCAGATCTTACTGGTGTAATCCATATTGTAACTTGTATGCCTTCTAAAATTCATTTACGGACTTCCAATATTAATTACATCTAAGTTGTCCCTGAAGTGTGGGGGAAAAAAAAAAAAAAGAGTGAAACACTTTTTTGAAGTGGACATTTTAGTTTTGTTGCATTCTGTTTCTCACTGTGGTATAATTTGTGAAAATACCAGTAAGATTATTTGTTTCTAAATGATCAGTACCACCCTGAAAATTGTTCCCCTTCCTCAGCCCACAGATCTCTTTGATGTTAAAAACTATAAACAGCTTTAAATTGATAAAGAGATAAGTGGCAAAAAACCTGTCTCACCTTCCTCATAAGTAGACTGAAGAAGTCATTTCACTTGGAAATAGCTTTTCTTTCTGCTGCATAACAACTGAGATACATTTAGAGATCTCAGCCAAAAATTCCAGAATTTGGGAAACAGCAAAAGTTACACGGCACCTACCTGACGGATCACAGATAGAACTTTGAAAAATACCACTGAAGCTTACAGCAGAGGTACCTGAAGAGAACAAAATAATCAACTTAAAATAAGAAAATCTAGCTCGTTAAGAATATCAGAATTTCACAAAACACTGCTTTGTCTAAGTAAGCAATTGGAGAGTAATGTCTTTGAAAAAAATTTTGAAGTTTTACTTAAAAGGTAACATAAAATCTGCTGGAGAGTTCTAGAAACTTTTAGTTGGGTCCTAATATAAAGGATTAAAAGTATAAAACTTGTAGAACTATCTAAAATTATAAAAAATGAAGTAATCTCAAGATAGCCTTATAAATTGGACATTCATTAAATTTCTACAAAAAATATGGTATCTGAAAGTCTATTAGGTTAATATCAATAAATTATCCTCATGCTGGCTTATACCTTTAGAAAATAGAGATTTTTCAACAGTGTGATTCTTATACTTTTAAAAATTATTTCCTTCAGAAAACTACAGTGATGACTTTGAAGATGCAGAGGATGTTGCCACCTGTTTGACTACTAAAGATGAAGAGACTCATTCCAAAGAAAATCCCAAATCAGAAGAAGTAAATATACCCAAACCGGTATACATCAGTTTTACGTTTCACTGTTTTCACAGCTTCTTTCATCAACTTTAATGTTTCCATAAGAGCATGAAATACAGAATTCATCATGTCTAGCGTATTATTATAAACTTAAATTGTTTTACACTCAAACATTTTCTTAACGTGGGATGTTAGTTTGGTGTACTTCGAGGAAAAATCATAGCAATCAGTGATTTTGTAAGAGATATCTTTCACAAGTAATTTCTTAAAAGTTCAGTTTTAGAAAGGGAAAACAATTAAAATTTTAAAGCCTATTTCTACACTGGTATGTTTAATTACAATTTGATAGGACTTGTCCTTGTGCAATACAGTAAATAACCTCTTCTCCCTGTTTATGCTAGTGATAACATTAGTATCTGAAACTTTCTTGGCTAAAATAAGCTGTGACATTATCCCATTTATGTCTCATTTCTCAATTCTTACTAAGACTTCTTAAAGGCTGTTATTCCATTTGCTAGTGGGCTAGATTAAGAAAATATCCCCTGCACAAAAATGTGCCACTCTAAATGTGGAAGCTTCAGAGAGAACTGTCTGCTAAGACCCCCTGCACTTCTTAGCCAAGTACAGAATAAAGGTGATGATAGCATAAGGCAACCTGTAATACCAAAGGATTTTTACCTGTGGCTTCCCTTTCTGAAAGTTACTTCTTTCACAGTATGGATGAAACTGTGATTAAATGTTTGTGTATTTGGTCATTAATTTGGATCAATAAGGGCTATAGCTCCAGGAAGATAAGTACCTAAATGGAAAGCATAAGGTCCTGGGTTCAGTTCGAGTCCAGTTGCAGTTTTTTATCAATAAGGGAAAATTGATCAGTAATTTGTAATTGCAGAGTCTTATATGAAATAGCCCTATTATCTTGATGTTTAAAATAACCGCAGAATTTTTGAGCAAGATAGTAAGTAGGGGGCACCTAGATACTTCAAGCAAGTAGTTTTTTAGATTAAATTAATTTTGATAATTGCCAAAGTACAGAAGAGACTTTCTTGTTTTTTTTTTATGTTTTTTTTCTGGAACCGAGGATCAAACAACCTCATGCCTGCCAGACTGGTGCTTGTGCTGCTGAGCAAATCCCCAGCCCCAGAAGAGACTTTGAGAAGCTGCTTGAGAGATACAGTCTCTCTATGTTTGAGGAATTATTGATAAATGAGAGTAGCGGAAGCATCCTGAAAGCACAGTTCCTAATCTGTGAAAAAAAGCACTGGTTTTCAAATGTGTAACTATTTCAAATTACATAACCAAACATAAATTTTGATTTCCACCATGTAATTAATCCTTTTTCTTTTTTTAGATAGAAGAAAAAACTGGAATGCTGGCTAATGGTAAGTATTACATATTTTCATTTTTTATTTTAAAAAGAATAAAACAAAACAGAACAAAGCAGCTCAGAAGAAAACATTGCAAGCAACACAGGATTTCAGAGCAAGACAACAGGAAATCAGCAGTAGCTACCATAATTTCTCTTTTTAGTAAGACAATCTTTTTTAATTTTTCTTATTTTAAAGAGGGTAAGGTTAAACATAACAACACAGATCATAAAGAAACCTCTTTGCATATCAAAAGAAATCTCCAACAGACTGAAAAGAAAACCCATAAATTGGAAAAAAAAATCTTAGTCAACTGTCCCTCAGAGAAAGGACTCCTATCTAGAATATATAAAGAATTAAAAAATCAGACTCCCAAAATTCAAACACCCCATCCAAAAATGGGCATCTGAGATGAATCCAGACTTCTCAGATGAAGAAACACAAATGGCAAATAAACACATGAAAAAATCTTCAGCATCCTTGGTCATTAGAGAAATGCAAATTAAAACCACACTATTTTGTTGCTGCAGATGAATTTTAGGAATGATTTCTCTAGATCTGTGAGGTATGCTAATGGTATTTTGATTGGAATTGCATTAAATCTGTATAATAATTTTTGGAGAATGGCCATTTTCACAATATTTGTTCTTCCTATCCATGAACAAAGAATGTCTTTCCACTTTTTGAGATCCTCTTCAGTTTCTTTTTTCAGAGTATTGTAATTTTCACTGAGTAGATCTTTCACTTCCTTGTTAGATTGATTCTTAAGTGGGTTTTTTTTTTTTTTTTTTTTTTTTGGATGCTATTGTGAAGGGTATGGTTTCTCTTCTCTTTCTCTCAGAGAGTTTATTGTTTGTGTATAGGAATGCTATTGATTTTTGAGTGTCAGCTTTGTATCCAGCTACCTTACTGAATTTGGTTATTACATCTAGCTTTCAATGAATCTTGGGGGTCTTCTATGTAGAGTATCATATCATCTGCAAATAACAATTTAACTTCTCTTACTATCCTCATTCCTTTTATTTCTCTCTTATCTAATTGTTCTGGCTAATATTTCCAGCAGTATACTGAATAGAGGTGGTGGTAATGGACAGCCCTGTCTTATTCCCGATTTTAGAGTAAAAGCCTTCAGTTTTTGACCATCTAATATGACGCTGGTTGTTGGTTAGTCATAGATGGCTTTTATCAGATTGAGGTGTAAAAATCATCTCTTCCAATTTTCTGTAGGGTTCTTATGAATGAGTGTTGGACCTTATCAAAAGCTTTTTCTGCATCTATTGAAATGGTCATGTGATAATTGTCTTGGCTTGACTGATATGGTGGATTACATTTACTGATTTGTGTATGTTGCACCATCCCTTCATTCCTGGGATGAATCCCACTTGGTCATGGTGTTTGATCTTCTTGATGATTTACTACATTCTGTCTGCCATTTTGTATCTATGTTCGTTAGGGAGATTGCCCTTTTGTTCCCATTTTTGTTGGATCTTTCTCTGGTTTTGGTATTAGGGTAATACTTGCTTCCAGGAATTAGTTAGGGTTGCTTCCCTTTCAGTTTCATTGAAGAATTTGAGGAATGTTAGCATTAAGTCTTTCTTGAATTTCTTATAGAATTCAGCTGTGAATTCATCAGGACCTGGGCTTTTCTTTGTTAGTGAGATTTTAATTAAATTTTAATTTGATTAATTGAAATTGGATTATTCAGCAGTTTTACATCTTACTGATCCATCTTTGGTAATTCGTGTTTCTAGGAATTTGTCCATTTCTTCTGTGTTATCAAATCCATGAGAGGAAATGTTTTTGATATAGGTATGGATGATCTTCTGTATTTCCACAGGTTCGTAGTGATTTCGCCTTTTCATTTCTTTTTGTATGAATTTGAATTTTTTCTTTCCTTTTTTTAATAAGGTTGGCTAGGGGTTGTCAATTTTATTTATTATTTCAAAGAACCAACTCTTTGATTTGTTAATTCTTTGTATTGTTTTCTGAGTCTATTGCCTTAATTTCTTCTCTAATCTTTATAATTTCCTCCCTTCTTTTGGCTTTGGGCTTGATTTGCTCATCTTTTTCTAGATGTTTGAGGTGTAGTATCAGGTTGTTTATTTGTATTCATTCTGTTTTCTTGATGTGGGAATTCACCACAGTACATTTCCCTTTGAGGACTGCTTTCATTGCATCCCACAGGTTCTGGTAAGTTGTATTTGTATTTTCATTTGCTTATAGATATTGTTTAATTTCTTCTGTAATCCATTGATTATTCAGGAGCATATTATTTAATTTCCATGTGTTTGTGGAGTTTTTGCAGTTTCTTTTGTCATTAGTTTCTAGTTTCATGCCACTATGATCAGAAAATATACATGAAATAAGTTCAATTCTTTTGCAATTACTTAAGCACGTTCTATGGGCTAGATATGATCTGCTTTATCTGATCTGCTTTATGAGATCAGATCTGTATATGATCTGCTTTAGAGAATGTCTGAAGTGCAGCTGAGAAGAATGCATATTCTGATGTTGTTTGGTGGAATACTCTGTACATATCTACTAAGTCCATTTGTTCACAAGTTTGATTCAGTTCTGTTATTTCTTGGCTGATTCTCAGTCTAGTTGATCTGTCTCTTTGTGGCAAAGGCGTGTTAAAGTCTCCCATTATTGTGTTATTGCTTATTTGAGTTTTCATTTCTATTAATATTTGTTTTATATAGCTGGGTGCTCCCATGTTTGTTGCATATATATTTAGGGTTATTTCTTGCTCTTGCTGTTTTCCTCTAACTAGTATGTAATAACCTTTTCTGTGTATTTTGATCATTTTTGGTTTGAAGTTCGCATTATCTGTGAACATAATAGCTACCCCTGCATTTTTTGAGGGGTTCCTGTCATATCAAGTATTATTTTCTATCCTTCAACTTTGTCTATGAATTTCCTTTTGGATTAGATGGGTTTCTTGTATACACCATATGGTTGGATGTTGTTTCTTGATCCATTCTGACAGTCTGTTTCTTTTAATTGGTGAATTGAGGTCATTTACATTAATGGTTATAAGTGATGAATATTGGCTTGTTTTTATCATTCTACTCTTGGTTCTTTATCTTTCCCCTCTGTCTCATGTTTGCACTGCTTGGTGGTTTCTTTCTGTTGGTGTTCTTGAAGTCATAGTTATTTTTATATCTATCTAGAATATCTTTTCAGTATTCTTTGCAGGGTTGGTGTGGTTCTCATGAAGTTCTTCAGCTGTTCTTTGTTGTGAATATATCGTTTCTGTCAATTTTGAAGAATAGTTTTGCAGGGTACATCAATTTGGGTTGAACCTCATTTTCCTTTAGGATTTGAAATACTTCACTCCATGCCCTTCTTGACCTCGGTGTTTGTGTGTGTGAAAAGTCTGCTGTGATTCGGATGGGCTTTCCTCCATAGGTGATCTGTCTCATCTCTCTAACAGCTTTTAACATTTTGTTTTTATGTTGAATTTCTGCGATATTGACTATTATATGTCTGAGTGTAGATTTATTTTGGGTTATAGCTAATTGGAGTTCTATATGTTTCACTTATCTGCATGTGAGTTTCCTTTCCCGTGTTTCTGAAAGTTTCAGCTATTCGGTAAGTAATCATTTGATATCATTTGTGTGGTCACCTCTTTTTCATTTACACCTATCAATCTGACATTGTTTTTCTTTGCATCATCTTGCAACTGTTGAATTGTTCTTGATTTCTTATTTTTAAATGATCTTTCCTTTCCTGTTCACTAGCTGCAAGCTTGTCTTTGAAGTCTGAAAGTCTGTCTTCACTGTCATTGAGGTATTTTTGCCAGCTTTTGATAGAATTTTTTACTTCCTGGATATCTCTTTGAATCTGTTTCATGCATTCTGTTTCTTTTTTATATTGTCCATTCAAGGTTTCCATCTTTTTGCAGTGCTCCTCAATTTTTTTAACTATGTCTTCTGTGTTCAGCATTTCTTTTATTACGTTCATCTTCTTTTGTCTGAGAGATTATTTCTGATCTGAGTTCTTTTACAGCTTCATGAAGTTGTTTCTTTACTTGAGTTGCTGTCATTTTAGATGTTCCAGGTGTTTGGCTTGCATGTTCCCTAGGCTTGTTTGGGATGGGCTAGAGGTTTGAGAGTGCATTTTTCTCTTTTGTTTTGTCATTTTCCTGTATTCCCCTGGAGAAGCGGAATGCAGGGTCTTAGTTACTTCCACCGTTGGGGATATCTGTCAGTAGTGCAGTGAGTCTCCCCAGTTGAGTTGAGGTCATTAGTCTGGCATTTCCAGGCCCCTAATGGCACTCAGAGGATCCTCAAATGTGGAGAGTGTGCTGGGCGGTCTTTCAGTGCATTCTACATGGTATAGTGAAGCTCCCAGGTGCTTGAGGTCTCTGTTTGGAACTCTAACAGGTTCTGAGTGATGTACCAAGGCTAAACAGCTAGATGGAGTACACTATGCAGGGCTTCAGCTCATGCCACATGATATACCAAAGCTCCGTAGCTATTTGGGTTGCTGGGCAGGACCCTGCCAGCTTCCAAGCGAGATGCCAATGTTGCATGGCTGGATGGAGTTCACTGTGCAAGCATTTGGCTCATGCTACTGAGCACAGCAATTCCCTGGCCACTCGGGGTTCCTGGGCAGGGCCCAACCGGCCCAGAGGGACCTACCCCAAGGTCTATGGCTGATTGGGGATGCTGAGCAGGGACCCTACCAGGTTCTAGGTGAGGTGCTGAGCTTGCACGGCTGGGTGAAATTCACTGTACAGGCCTTCAGCTCCTATGTTTTCGTATTTTAGTTGGCAAAATGTTTGCCTATTTAAGTGTCATCATATAACTGAATAAATCACCATCCTTGTTTTTAATGTCTGTAAGGAATTAAGGTTCAAAGCTTATCAGTAGTGTCATTTGTGCCTATCTTGAATTCACCCTAAAATATTTGACAGTATTTCCTTTTTGTTATTTTTCTCAGTTTCTTTGCTATCCAATTAAAAATGTATGTTAGACCTACATATAATTGTAGATGTGTCATAGATACATTTGCTGATATTAGGCCACTCATACATAGAAAGGAAATCAAGTTTGTTGGATATATAAACTCATTCACATGTAACATAACATTTATTTATAAATATTTTGTTTTTATACATCATACAATACTTTTATTAGATAAAAAAAAACCACAAATTTTTCTTCATTCCTTGTGCTTCTTCTTTTATATCCTACTAGTTGTGCTCCTTGATTCATTGGAATCTATTGAGGATGCCAACCTTGGTGAAGCAACAAGTAAGCCAAAGGCCCTGCCAGACACAACTGATAATGAAACGACAGGAACGGGTAAGAGTGTTTGAAAAACTGCTTATTTTCCAATCATGGACTACTCAAAGACTAAGTGAATTTGTTTCTAGGGAAATATATAAAATACATTCACAATAAAAACTTAAACCTTGCGCCTTCCTACCACATTTAAAAAATCAGAATTTGAGCTGGATTTGGTGGCTCATGCCTGTAATGTCAGAACCCTGGAAAGCTGAGATAGAAAGATCCAAGTTCAAGCTCAGCCTAGGCAGCTTAACAATTTAGTGAAACTATGTCTCAAAAATAAAGCAAAGGGCAAAAGTTAAATAAAGCCCATTGGTTCAACTTCAGTACTGAAAAAAATCAGAATTTGCTATTGGTGAAACCTGATGTTAGTTAGTAATCCAAGCCACATGTGGTTTTTAAATAAATACTTGCTAGTATGAATTATGTTGCTGATACAAAGCATAGATTTCGATACAGAGTATATTAATTAATTTGTCCTTCCAGAGAATTTATTGTATTTTGTCATATGTAGAAAAAATGGTACTTTTCTCACAGTTCCCTCAGTTTAGGAAGAAGCTACATCATGTTCCAGAGTTCTGAAATACCTGAGATTACCTAAGGCATTCTTAAAGCTTATAAGTCCATTAGACAGTGCTATGCATACTTTTTAAGGCAAATGGAATCCTTACATGTAATTGAGTCTTAACGTAGAACTCTATATTGATAGGAATAGTCTATCAGTGCAGTTATATGTTAGCACTCCTTTTGAAAATGTACATATAAAATCTGTTTGTTTGTTTGTGTAAGACAGGGTCTCACTGTAATTCAGGCTGAGCTTAAACTCACTGTGTAGCCGAGGCTGGCCTTGAACTTGCAGCAAATTTTGTTCAGTGTCCTGAATGCTGGAATTACCGGCATGAGCCACCATACCCAGCCTTTATCTATAAAATTAGTACAAGTAATAGTCCCTTGAAAGATGTGGCATATTCTCATATCACCATCAGACTTCTGCTGTGTTTTTGTTTTTGGTTTTGTTTTGATTTGTTTTATGTCTTTTAGAAACAGGGTCTCACTATGCAGTTCAAGCTGGCCTTGAGTTCACTTTGTAACCCAGGCTGGTTTGAACTTGGAACAGTCCTTCTGCCTCAGTCTCCTAAGCACTAGGATTACAGGCATGCACCACCACACCTGGCTTGTTTTTGTTACATAGTATAAAATATTCTTGATTTAACATACAAGTTGTAAATAGAGACTTTTTAATCTGTTTACTTTGTAATCAGGATATTACTCAACTGAAGTGATTTACACTAGAATAAAAGGACCAGTAGGTATCACTAACCAACTCTATACCTCAGCTTCTTATTTTTTTATTTTATTATTGAAGTATTGAATTATATTTATTATTGAAAGTATATAAAGTATGGCATTGAAAAGTTTATGCCATACTGAAACTTGATTTTTTTTTTGTTTTTTTTTTTTGTTTTTTTTTTGTTTTTTTTTTTGTACCAGGTACAACCTCACACCTACCAGGCAGCCGTTTATGCCACCGAGCTAAATCCCAGGCCCTAACTTGGTGAATTTAAATATTGAACATAACCCTATAATTAGCAAGTAGATCAAAAACCAAGAAAATACCAAATTTTAAATGTCCTGTCAAATGTCTGATTTCTAATCACTGTTGTGGTCTATCTAGGTATACAGTGTGTATTAAGCAAATGTAAATTCTTTTAAAAGATCAATGTAGGACTACAACTTTCCTAATAATGTATTAGAATATACATTGGTATATGTGGGGGATGGCAAGAAAAGTCTTTAAGATGTACAAGAAAACAATTGAAGTTGTTCAACATGTTATAGTTACTAACATCTTCAAAATATTAAAATTACAGAAGGGTACATTTGACTTTGTAGATAAGATTACATTACATTTTTAAGTCTTAAAGCATAATTTAAAATAGAATTTCAATCAAACATCTGTGGAACTCATTTTTTTCTGAAAAACTATAATTTTGTAAGAGAAAACTTCAGCTGTAAGTTTTAAGAAAAAGTCAGAAATCAAAACTATTTTTGAAAATAATTTTGAGATGATCTAAGCTATATATATGAAACTATTTCTTTTTTTGGTTTTGTATAATGTAGACCCTTATTGGCTGTGGGGTATAAAATTTACCCCCACAGTATGTCAAAAGTATACCTGTAAGATTTCAAATGAGTATCTGAATTTTGTATAAGAATTGAACACTTTGCTGGGCGTGGTGGCACACTTCTGTAATCCTAGCACTTGAGAGGCTGAGGCAGGTAGATTGTTGCAAGTTTGAGACCAGCCTGGGCTACAAAGTGAGCCCAAGGCCAGCCTCAACCACATAGTGAGACCCTGTCTCAAAAAGGCAAAAAAAACCAAAAACCAAAAAAAGCTAAAAATTTTAGTGGTTTTTTTGTTTGTTTATTTGATTTGCTTTCCCACATTTCTCCTAGTAATAAGCAGGCTGCTTTGGTAAAACATTGTCAGACATATGTGTTTTGTTCATAATGTCATTTGTGGAATCATTTACACTGTGTTATATTAAAATTAAGTATAAAAATGAGGTTTACTTAACACCAGGTGCAAGCTGGCTTTGACTTGGTTTCAGTCTTCTTCCAGGCAAGAACTATTTTTGTGCTGTAACTGAGGTCATCACAAAATGACTGTTAGTTCAGAAAAGTAGGCCCCCTTTCCTTTGCAAAATAAGATTTGGCACATCTCAACCTTCCAAAGTTGAGAAATATAAGGAGTTTTCAATACAGTATAGTAAATGAAACAAATAGTTGTTCTCACTTTAATGTAAAAGGCAGTCAAGTAAGCCCTTTTTTCATAACATGCATGAGAAGAGTTAATTTATGTGTCTGTAGAGTTATTCATAATATAACTTGGGTTAATGACTAAAGTTATGGAAAAGGTACCTTTCCTCACTTCATTTTCTTAGTAACCCTTGATACTTACCCAACTTTAATTCTTAATTTTTAGATTATTAAAAGAATGTTGTCTCCTCTTTCTGGCACCTCACACCTATTAAATTAGGGATGAGCATTCAGTACTGCTATGCCACTTACCACTGAAATCAGTTCTTTAATGTATGCTCTGCAGAACTTAGGCATCATGATATTTTTATAGAGGAGAGAAAAGAACTTATACCTTTCTGTCTTTATAAAAATTCTCTCCTTTAGTCATGCTGTTCTGAGTCTAGCTAGTCATTAGGGAAAATAGTTAAGGTCACCTTAATAAGCAGTGTCTTTTTTTCTTAAGTCCCTGCCCCTTAACTGTTGGCGATTCTTTTCTAACAGTATGCCTCACCTTCTTGTTTTTAGTTTATGTAAGCTTTTTTGTTATTTATTGAGTAGACTTCAAGTAGCCCTGAGAACCTGAAACATTAGCGACAAAGAAATATATCATAATTCATTCTTACACACTCACATTTGGTGCTCAGCACCTCTTAAGTTTTGAGTTAAATATACCCCCAGTGTTATACACTATACAATTTACAGTGTCTATAGAAGAAAATGAGTATCTATAGACTTTTAAGTTTTATTTAGCCATATTATCAAGAGAAGAGGAGATGATACTTATTTTTTCTTTTCTTTTTTCCATTCTATGATTCATTATGTAATTTCAAAAATTCCACTGTTAGGATGAAAGTTACAAAGTGATTCAGGAAATACTAATAAATATCTGATATTACTGTCATTACTAGTTCACACAAATTGGTTTTTCTGGAATTTATTCTTGTGCTGACAGGAGAACGTTAACTGGTGACTGAGACTAAATGACAACATCCTGATTCCTGTTTTAGGTACTGAGTGTGATGCCATTAGCGAAAACACAAAATCTGGATAGTAGAACAAGTATTGGTGGGGAATATAATGAATTTAGTTGGGAATGGATTGGGCGTGATTTACTTGCGGGACAATCTGAATGTCTGTTAGAGATAGAACAGAACAGAAGACATAGCTTGGGAGTCATGAAGATATTACTACAGTGGTCTTTTGGTTTATGGTTAATTTGTTTTACTGTTTGGGGGAAGATAACTGGATTTGCGGGGCAGGTGGCAGTGATCGTGTTTGTCTTCTGATGCAGAGTTTGTAAATGGAAACAAAGTTTTGCTGAACACCTTTGTTTGCAAACCAAATTGTTTGCAAATAAAAGGATTTTTGAACCAAGGAATTACTATAATATTTAAAGTTTATGGATCTGGATTATATTAGCCAAGTTAAAAAAAAATAAATTGTTAAACGCATACCCTTGGAAACGAGCATTGGCTATACAAAATGGAGTGCCAGCCATCAAAGAGGCAGGAATAATAACAAAAAGAATGGATGTAGAAGAAAAGTGAGAAAAAGATACTGTCACTTGCCTCACAAAATTGACCAGAACTAAACATAGAGTTAGTCACTAAGAAATTGCTTCTGATTGCTGCAGCTTTAGCAGGATATTGGTATACATACTCTGTCACAAAGTTAGAGTGAATTGGTGATGGGAAAAATGCACATTACAAGATGGTATAGGAAAGCAGAGCAGTGGTAAGGGAAGGGTAGAATCCGTTAAAGGACTGTGTGTCACTTAGGGTGGTCTAAGGATAGCTTTAGCCAATGCAGTTCAATTAAGGCTAATCAAATAGTAACTGGTAATACTGCATTTCACAGTTACTTATCAAGATCATCTCAGCTTGCTAAGAGAGATGGGGCCTGCTCTCATTTCACACTGGTAGGCCATAGCCATAAATTACCTAGAGTTCTACTTGATTATGTTTACGTTGCCACTATGCTGCGTAGATGCTTGTTTATCATTCCTAACTGGTCTCAACAGGTTAAGCAACGATACTAGATTGATCTATTCCTCATGTTTTTGTGATGTAATTGTACCAGGGATTGTGTTTGTTTCAGCAGATATTTCTTATGGACAAAGCAGTAGTGACCTGGAAGCCCTACATCAGGCGTATTGTCATATAGCTCATTCTTTGGGAGATGCAGATGGACAAAGGACTGAAAGTAACACAATGGAAATTATCAAGAGCTCAGTGAATGATCATCCTCAGGAAAATGAGGAGTCTTCAAAACACGTCTCTACTACTGAATCTGGTAAAAATCGTTAAATAGATAGATAGAATTTTTCAACTATTTGAGATCCTCTGTAAATAGTTTCCAGTATTATATTTTAAATACATTTGGTGCGGTGATTATTTCTCAGTCTCTGCACTTAAAAAGGATTTGCTTCAAATCAAATGTTAGAGCTGAACACAGAATAAAATTTCAGTTCTTCTAATATACTTTGAAATCAATAAGCCACATAAATTGACATTGTTTACTCTCTGGTATATATACATGTTAAAGTATTTTAATAGAGGATAATGTTTTGACATCAGCTAACATACATGTGTGTTCCATGGGTATAAATATTTACTATTGATACTTGAGATACGTATTTGATGTTGATACTTGATAATAGTAAAGGGTACCTTTTTGGTACAAACAAGTATATGATGGGAAGCCAAGTTTATTGTACTCGCCGTACTGTTAACTATCTCAGAAAATATAATTCTAGTTGTGGTATACACATAAATTAAGCAATTTGCATAACATCTTTGGCGTCTACATTTTATTTCTTTCCTCTTAGATCTGCCTACAGTGGAGGAGTTGATGAAACCTATCAGAATCGATTCGATTGGAGACAATAGTTTTCATTTACAGCCTCTAAGGTACAAGTTTTTTTGGAAAGTATTGTGCAAGGTTAATTTGTTGATTGTAGGTTTGTTTGCTTGTTTGTTTTGTCATTGGAAACTTTTATAATCATTTGTTCTATTCAGTTATTCTTAGTGAATGATTAATAACTAATATTAGCTTGCATGCATCTACTTGTGAGTCACTGAATTAATTCTTCAGGTGCTATTAAAAAAAAAAAAAGATGCTACTAAAATAATTGCCACTATTCATTAGGCCTAATGCTTTTCACTGAAAATTTAGCTTTGATAATTTGAAAATTTATCTTTGAATAGTTGGTTCACAGAGAAGGGGAAAGTGTGTTTTATTCTTTATATGAATCATACATTTGCTCTTTTGTAAGCCAGTTAGTGTGAATTAGCCCTAAACTGGCCATTGTTCTCAAAGGGTGAGTTCTGTGATCACAAGAGAAACAGACTTTTTAGAAACCCTTCCACTCTAATGCAGTTTAGTGGTAAGTGTGTGTGACTCTGATGAGTAGCATCTCATAGTAAACCTGTCATGGACAACTCCACATTTGTGTAGCACTTACAGTGTCACAGCTAGGTCACATCCTGTCTCTCACATGATCCTTATAACATGGGAGAGAGGCATTTTATCCTCATTGTTAAGATGATGAATCTGGATCAACCAGAGTTAGTGGATCTCGTAAAAGGATCACCAGATGGTGACGATAAAAGCTCACATTCATCATATGTACTTTGGGCAGGTACTATGCATAGTTCTTTACATACAATATTTCATTTAATTCTTCAGCAACTCCCCTAAATGTAGTTCATTATTTCCCTGTTTCATAGACCAGAAAACTGAAGTTTAAGGTTAAAATAAAAAAGATCATGACTGTCCAGAGAACAAAAGCGGTCCATGTGCTTAAATACTTAGCTTGTCGGATCTTCGCTGCCCTTAAAATATTTCTGTTAGGGAGCTTGTTGTCCATCCTTCTAGTCATTTGCTCACTTGTGCTTTCAAGAAGCACAGTTTAAACCCCTGCTTGTTCTAATGTTCTCATCATGTAAGACCACTTCAGTTATTTATTATTTCGACATCTGTGTTAGTTGAGAGAAAATGATAGTTAAGTTCACACGAAAACCCCATCAACTTGACTCAAGACTTGTAATGTTCCCTTGATCTATACATATTGAAGTTAATATTTCAATAAAGAATAGTATTTTGACATCAATAAGTACAGTGTTAATTAGTATTTTTAAAGAGGAGACTGTTTGCTAGTCATTGGTTTGGAGGTATGCTGATGTTTTTGAAGCAGTGTCTTACACATCTTGTGTTTTTGTTATAATTTAAATCATTTTAATAATACAAATTCTAAGTAAGTTTTCATGTTTGCATAAACAGATATATAAGAAAGATACAATAATAATTATAGAAATATCATTAAGACAGCCTTCAGTACACATACATAAAAACCTGCCTCTGTAAGCTGATAAGTGGTCCTAGCCACTGAAACAGATAATCCTTGAAATTCTAGTAGATAAATATAAAACGTTTTTTCTTGCTTATATCACCGTAACATGCGCATCATGAGGGTTGGGATGAAGCTGTACTCCACACAGTGGCCCAGGCCACCATGGGCATAAAGTGGGCAGCTTTTCTCCACAGACCCTTCCAACATGCCCTCATGCTTTGGAGCTAACCAACCCTGGACTAAAAACAAGAGCCAGATAACCCTCTCCTCCTTTAGGTTGTAGTTGTCTGGTATTTTGTACTCATGACTAGAAAGTGACCGAGGCACGGTTTCTGTCACCAACCTGTAGTTTTAAAGTTGGCAAAGCATCATTCAACCATTTACTAAGAAAAAGAAGAGTTTTTCTTTTAACCCCCTTAACACAGAAGTGCCACATCACTTCTCCTGTCATCCTTTTGGCAAGAAGCAGCATATCTACCTAACCGGTCTTGGAAAGGTAGGAAATAGGGCTTGCTTGCATTCCTAGAAAGAAAAGCAAATTATTTTGGTAAGGCTGTGGCCATTATCTACGTAAATATACCCTTCTAATAACCAGAGACCCATTTCATTCTTCTTTGTATACAAACTCACTCACACCCTCGTCAGAGCAGATAGTCCAGAGTCCCATTCAGGGCTCTGCGTTCATGGCTAGATTTCCAGCTGATGTACAGTGCAGTCTTCTCCATCAGGCTTGAGTGTGGCTCATCTTTGCCTACCAGTGATGAATAGAAAACAAGTTACATTCTTCCTTATCCCAACCCATATAATGCTGGAATTGCAACAGATACTTCCTTTCAGAAAGGAATAGTGTGAGGAAAACACAGCAGTAATTTTTGCAGCTATGAAAATGCTGGCAAGACCTTGTTAAGATCCTTACGTTGGAGATGGAGATTTGCCTTGATTGAGTTATTATTCTGCTCTTAAAGAGGAGCTTCATAAATGTGTTGTTGTATGTGTAGCTCCTGGTTCTATTCCTTGGAGAATTTGTCTTGTGTATTATCCCCCAGTAATAAACTGGATTTTCTGAAGAGGATATGCTCATCTTTGGGGATAGATTCCTGTTCACTTCCTGTATATTAGTAGTTTTAAGGCTTTCATTTGATGGCTTTTGTGGTGATTTTGTTTTTAAATATGGTTGTAGGCCTTCATAAATTTTCGTACCTCTCCAGTTTGTTTGGCTCCAGTCAGTACCTTGTACCAGTACCCAAACTTATTTTGATAAGTAAAAGTTTTAAGTCTGCATTGTCTCTCTGGTTCTTGAATCTTCTAATATTTCTCTTCATATACTTTAAATTGTCTCTTCATTTTGGGGAACAATAACCACAAGCGTGAGAAGAGCACCTTTGGTGTGACTCTTGTGAAGAAACTAGGTTACTCTTTTTAACTAAGAAGTCCCGCAGACTCCTGTTTCTCAGTTTTTCCATTCTAAATCTTACTGTGTAGTTCTAGTCTACATAGAGAGTGAATCTACTAAGCCCTGAGTTTCTACACTCTTTTTGTTCTCTTCGAGTTGTCCTTACACACCAGTCTTTTTTTAATATCTTGATGAAAGCATCCAGTCATATCAGCACTGAAAAAATATCTGTTCTTGTCAGCTGTTTTTCTTAGTCCTATAGATTCAGTGGGTATATGGTCTGCTTTTTAAGCTACGTGATTGTTTAGTAAATGTTTTCACTGTAAACTATGAGTTTCCATCTCTCTGGCCTCTTCTATCAGTCTCCTGATATCCAAAACCTGGCCACTGTGCTAGTTACATAAATTTTGGGTTCCTGTCTTCCTAACACTTACATTTTAAAGGCAAAATGGCCCCATCTACAAGCCAGGTAGCTAGGAAAGATAGTTTAGTTGATACTCAGCAAGATTGGGAAACTTCTTTTTGCATTTCCTGGGGATCAAACCCAGGGCTTTCACCTGAGCCACATCCCCACCCCCTTTTATTTTGAGACAGGGTCTCACAAATTACATTGACTAGCATGAAGTTGAGATCCTCCTGCCTCAGCCTCTAGGAGTACCAGGGTTATAGGCATGCACTATCATACAGCATCAAGTCAGTTTTTGAAATAACTTACATATTGCAGTGATTTCAACTACTAGTTTCTAGTAGTTATTAAGAAGCCAATCTATGTAATATGAAAATAGAGCCTCCTAAATTAGTTTTTTAATATTTTAATCTTATAAAATGTAAAATCAAATTACCTAGTTGATCATGATTAAGTAATTTGAGAATTACAGTTTTCACATTTTGGAGCCCCTGTAGTTTGCTTGTATTTAACCAAATTCAGGGCATTTCATTGAAATCTGTTTTTCAGATTTTCAATATCTAATTTATCTGAATTGTTTTATTTCATTTAAGTAGTTTAAGCCAAAAATGATTTTATTTTCAAATCCTAGTGACTTCTTTTTATTTAAAAATTTTTATGCTGATTATATTGCTGCCTTTTCCAATTCTGTGGCATAAATGATAGTTATGTCTTTAATTTTTTACAGAATTGTGTAAGTTTTTCCTTCTTCAAATTCAGGTTGACTTAATAAAAATCTAAGGCTAAAAGATATGTTACAAAAAGTTAATTTAGAAATTTATTATTTTCTTATACAGAAGCACTGTCAGTCTTACTTGGTTTGTCCTTGCTTTAAAGTTAGGTCTCAGAACCACTTGTATATTATACTGCATAATCCTTTATTGTATGGATTAAAAATGCTTGCCTGTAATCCCAGCACTTGGAAGGCTGAGGCAGTAGGATCACCATGAGTTTGAGGCCACAGTGTGCTATGTAGTGAGTTTAAGGCCAGCCCAAACTACAAAACAAGACTCTTGTCTCAAAACTACAACAGCAACAAGATAATTTTATGTGAAATTAAAAGCAATTATGTATACTATGTCCATATCCTGTATTAACCAGAATTGTAAATGTACAGTAATTTAATTTGAATAGTTACAACTCAAATATGTGTGTGTACATATTTAATTGATAGTTGGGAAATCATACTAAACAGTTTATTCTGTGTCCTGTTTTGTTTGATAGCTCTCAGAACATGACTAATAGCAAAGACACTATAAATGTTCACTCTTTACCCCTTCAGATAAATGCAAATGTTATATCTCATGACCCCAAAAATGTGAACCAACTTTTGTTTTTGTTTTTTTTTAATTTATTTAAAGAAGAAAAAAAAGCAAAACAGAAAAAAGGGTAGCAACAATACAGAATTCAAAAAAAATAAACACTAAAGAAATCACTAATTGATAAATTACATACTGAACCAACTTTTTGACAGAAATGAGGAGAATATGATTTTACAAAAGACAACAAATAAGAATATGGAAAATAGCTGTCCAACAGTAACTGCTACAGAAGAACAAATTGATAAAACATACCTTGATATTTTGAGGAAAAAGATATCTGTTAATTCTTCACTATTATCTCAGGATGACAGAATTAATAAAGTAAGTGCTTATAATCTAAATTGATTTGTTGTGTTGAAAAACAAAGTTATGTGAAGTACATAAGTAATGTAAAAAAAATAAAAAGTATGTGCTGCTTAAGCTAGTAGGATTGATTTATATAACTGAGCTCTGTGGTAGATTCTGGACATTTGTTAGGTCCTTTGTTACGAACAGCTTCTAATCCCCAAATTCAGAATTAACATTATCATACCAGCTTTCTTTTGGAAGCTGTTGGTTATATTTTTATTTCTTTTCTTTTGTTTTAGTAAATAGAATCCAGAATTCGTATAGTTTAAGAAAATAAAGTTTACACATCATTGTACTGTTCGTTGTTCCGTCTTTCCAGTAGTTTGCACAGTAAGTTGGCATTTTAGGGGAATGCCATTAATGACTGGGAAGAAGCTTGGATTTCACTGTTCCTTTTTTCTGAGTTTTGTTTTGTTTTCTGTTTGATAGTACCAATGGTCCCAATGTTATTTTCATTCATAATTTTGAATTACATGTTTATTATAAATCATCTCTACTTTGTGGAGATGTGGAATAAGGCAAAGTATTAATAAAAATTTTAAACAACCTGACAAGTCTAGAGAAAACAATTTCAAATGCCTTTTCAAAATATGTTCTTGATCTCTTGTTTATTCTAGTAATCACACTTTTTTAGCTTTTTGACAAGTTTACTTAGGTGTGTTAATCTTTGTTACTTTGTCGCAGTGTTAATTTTGCTTTAAAATACTAAAATACTGATGAATTAGAGCAGTTTTGTTGTGTGCCTTTTACAAACCACGTGATAGTGATAATCACTATCATTTTACTGCATGATATATCTTCATTAAAAATAATAATTGAAATTCACTTAAATGCTAGCGTTTGTGTTTGTTGCATATAGACTTTTGTCTTTAATGCATTACAGACTTTTAAATCTCAGCTCTGTCCTACAGAAGAAGGGAATGTAAGTGGTAATCAGGCACCATACAGAAAGGCCAGAAGTGCACCAGCTTTGTTTAAAAGAAAACCCCAGAGTGGATTATATGCATCAGTTAGGAGCTCAGGCTATGGTAAACCCAGTTCACCACTAAAGTTGTTTTCTACTCTTGAAAAGAAAACTTCAAAGGACATGAAAAGCAAAAACTTGAGACCCATTCCCACCTCACATCAAGCTAAGAAGAAAGGTAATGGTTTACTCTTTCCAAAACAATTCTGTACATGTAGTTTATTACTTATTTTTCTTATTTTTGTGGAAGAGAATTAATCTTAAGAAACTACGTTCTTTTTCTAGAAGATGTAATTTACAGTAGATAACAGACTTGATCCAGGGTGGTAACTGTAGAGGTGATAAAAAAGTAGTTGGATGTGGGAATATATGGAAGATGAAACCAAAAATATAAAGAACTAGTTAGGGATTGCTAAAGTTTTTGACCCAAGCAACTGGAAGAATGGACCTTGTGTACTCTAGGATGAGGCACAGGCAATAGATTTGGGGCTGGAAGCACGACTGGTACTTTAGTGTTTGAGATGATGTTGAGATTTATGTTTGACATGCAATCAGTGAGGATAAGGAGGCAGTTAGATATAAAATTTTAGCACTTAAGAGGGATGTTTACACTAGGTATCATTTGGCAGTTGTCAAAAACTAAAAACTAAAATACTTTTAAGCCATGAAACCCATTGAGGTACCGATGCAAGGAAGCTAGAGGGGCAAAGGCAAAGCCAAGCTGTAAGGCCAGGCACGCCAACCTGAGTCAAGCAGAATAGGAATGTGCGAAAGAGACAGATTTGGAAGAAACCTGAAAGCATGAAGAATCCTAAAACCAGAAAAAATAAACGGTTTGTTGCTGATGAGTTAAGAAAGTGAATACTGAAAACTGACCTTTGGTTTTAGGAACAGGAAATTACCACTGTGCAAAAGTGCAGTATCCATGGAGTAGGTAGTAGCAAGCCCTACGGCAGTGTTGCAGACCTGCTGGTGTGGCATATGTGCCACTGCTGGGTCACACTGCCTAGAGGAATGGCGCTGTAAAAAAGCGGCCAGAAATGGAGCAACAGCTGACGTGGAGGTGGGGTTGGGAGAACCACGTGTTGTCCATTGCTTTGCTTTGATTTTAGTAAGAGGAGTGATACTAATTTGTGTGCTATTAAAGGTTCTGTAGAGAGGAAAGTGAGCGGCGTGGTAGAGGGGAGAATTGCCGGGGCAGTGTCCATGATAGAAGAGCTAGAGTGATGCGGAGACGGAGGACCGGCAGTGATGCAGTCACAGATAGCCTTGCCTTTGGGGATATGTGGAGGGAGACAGGAAAGAAGGAGTACACGCTGGCAGATGGATAGAGGTGCAAGAGGGAGAACATTTGAATACGGCTTTAAAATCAGATTTAATTTCTTTTCTGGATCTGGTAGTTATTCAGTAAATCCCAAAGTCTATGTAATATTTTAATTGTATAAAATTCCTTTATTACTTTGCAGCCTGTAACAGAGTGTCTGTCTGCCTTTTAAACCCGTTGCAATAACTTCGCTGAAATATTAACATATTAGTAAAACTTTTCTTAAAGAAAATCTCTTGTATATATTTCTTCTAGACTTTATTATTAACTGAATACTATTTTGACTTAATAATTTTTTCTACTGCTTGTGGATTTATAAATTACCTTAAAAGTGGGAAATTGGACCAGAATACACACTAAACATATTTTTTTAATTTAGCATGTTACTATCTTATGATGCAGCACTATAAGCCTTTTAAAATCAAATTTAAGTTGTCTGGTATAAAATCCTCTGTGCAATTCATACTGTTCCACTATGCTACACATCTTGTTATTACTTGTGAAAGTATGCTTTGAAGTCACACTTAATCTGAACTAAAATGTTTCATAAATTTATCAGCTGCTTTTTACTTTTTGATTCATTTAGAAATTCTTATAATTGTGAACAAATAAGGAATAATTTGTTTCTAATTAGTAAGCTCTGAAGTTACCCCAGTTCGGTCTCCTCACTTTTATTTAGCTCCATTTGTCATTTAACATGGATCTTGTGTCAATTAACCATCTGTGTCAAATTGAGAATATTGATTACATGTAATAATTTTCTGATTGCAATTATAGTGAAACAGCTGTTTTGTAATGTTCTTCGACCTATTTAAGACCATCATTTTATCTTACTATTCCAGTTATTTTTATACTTACGCATTTCATACTGCATGCATATTTAACTTTACCATTTTGGTGCTCTCATCCATTGTTCTTAATGTTTAGAAATGTTATCTGGAACAAAACTCATCAAACCTGCAGCTTTGAGTAAAGCATCTCCCAAAAGTGAAAATTGCCTGGCTTCTCCTAAGACATCTGAAGATCCTACAGCAACTGATTCTTGTGCTCAGTTTCAGACTGTAGGTATTAAATTTCACTTTAATATTTATAACTTTTATATTCTAAAATTATATTAAAACTAAATTACAAATATATGGTCAAGGAGTATGTGAAATATGAGTATGTATGTGGAAGGGTAATAAGCCCATTAATATACATAATTAATGTGTGCTAATAAAAAGGTATAAATAATATAGACATGAAATTTCTTTCTGGTAGAACATTTTATTAACCATGTTATTTTTATTCTTTAGTCTTACTTTTTCTTAACTTAGATTTGAATTTTATATGTAAAACTACTCATAATAAAATAATTTTTTTCTTTAAAAGGATTTTTCAGAACACAGTGGTAAGAACAAAGAGAAAGAAATATTTTTGCTTAAAAGGGTTCAGAAAGCAGAAGAAAAATGGAGGAGTGCAGAAGCCCTAATTGAGCAAATTAAAGTCACATTCTCAGAAAAAGAGAAAGACCTGGAAAATAAGTTGGAGGAAGTAAAGCAACAACAGGAAAAGGAAGTATTCAAGTTAAGTCAAGAAAATTATATTCTTCAAGCCAAGGTACAAAAAACAATGTTCTATTTTCCAAAAACTAACAGAACAACAATAACAATACTACTTTACTTTCTGTAAATGCCTTGCATTCCTTGTTTCCTGGAATTGACTTTCATCTATTTGCTGTATAAAATATGGGCATGGTTTTGGAGATTAACTTTTATGAGAGTAAATTGAAGCTCTTGGGGAAAAAAATCTCAACTTAAATTGGCTCATTTTAATGATTTCTGTTCTTTTCTAAATTAGTTTCAGCAAGAATGCTATATAGAAAGTATAAACTCAGAATGTCACTAACATTTGAGTTCTTTTACTCACCGAAGCCATCAGAACAAAAGTCACTGTAGTTACATCATATTCAATGTTATATTATAAAATAGTTTTGAGTCTCACCATCTTGGATTTTCTGCTATACTTTCTCATATCTCACTTCATCATTTCCTTCCCCGAATAAACAATTTCTGCATTTTTTTAAAGTTAAGTAGTTTTGAAGAAACAAACAGAAAACACAGATGGTTACATTTTGGAGAAACTGCTGATCCTGTCACTGGAGAAAAATTAAAGCAAATCCAAAAAGAAATACAGGAACAAGAGACACTTCTTCAAGGCTATCAACAGGTGTGGCAATTCTTCTATTCATGGCGAGTTTGCTTTTGATCCTTAATTAAGTTCTATTAAAATATTCTGTGCTAATTTATCAGGCAGTTATGAAGCAGTAATAGTTTGACTGGTCTGCACATTTCTCATTGGCAGATTAAAGAGCCTGGGTTCTGAAATCAAAGAGTCTGAGTTTGAGTCTTAGTTCTGTCACCTGTAGGGCAGCCACAAGCACATCACTTCATCTCTTTAAGCAAGTTTCTTTGTCATGAAATGGGGTTAATAATAATAATAGTACCTCCCTCTTAAGGTGAAGGTGAAATCAGAATGCAGTAGTGCAGACTGACATCTTAGCAGCACTGTTAGTCTGACACACAGTAACCAGTTAAGAAATGATGCCTGTTACAAGTTTGATAGTTTTGATTCTTAGTAATTACACTTGTTTTCTTTAGTTTTCTACAATGCTCTGCAGTAAGTAGTTTTGCTATTATATTGAGAAATGTGAATCTGCAGTCAGTTGCTAATGCTATGAAGGTGAGCGATGTTTTAATTTAATGTGAGATCTGTTTACAGAGGCAGACGTTTATAATGTGTGATGAGGTCAAGTTTTGCATACTTGACAGCCACGATAGGTTTAATAATTTTCATCATTTTTATCTTTGATCCTTGCCTCCCATACCTTTTTTTTTTTTTCCTTTCCTTTCTCTTCTTATCTCATTATGTTCTTCTGACAACTTTAGTCTAGCACTGAACCATGCTTTATTACCTAAGGACATTCAGATAAGGCATTTGCCACACCAAAGATTGCATCATTTGCTGTAAATGAAATAGCCTGATTTTTCAGGGCATCCTGTCCTCAGATTAGTGAGAACTGCTCTCTCTGCCATCTGATCGTAGCCTGTGCAGCAGGAGTTTTTAAGATTTCATAGACCCATAAATATGTCATCCAACCTCTCCCATGAAGATAATATAAAAATTGTGTGCCTCGGTGTTGGGGTGGGGGATCATTAATTCTGTATATACTGTGTTTAAGTGCCATCTACCAGGTACCTTTCCAGACGCGCTAGGGTAATCCATTGTTTTCAGTAGCTCTTCAGAAGCCCTTGATTTTCATCAGAGTCTTCATTTTAAAAGGCATTATTAACCAAAGCATCTAAAAACAAGTTAGTACTTTCTCTTTTCCTCTTGATCTCAACCAGAGTTCAGGTCCCAAGGTAAACTGGGTCTGTGCTTTGCCTTTCTGACAACTACATAAACACTTGATTGTAAACTCCCTGCTTATAGCCACATACAGCCATGAGTACCCCTGCTACGCCTTACTGTCCCACTTCTGGAGGTCTGGCTTCCAGAGTTTCCTCCAGTGATAAATGTTTTTTCCTTTCACTTTTAGACAAGAAACATAAGAGGGTATAGAGTCCCACTGGACCTTGGCCCAGACAGCTGGAACGTGATAGCTTAAGCCCCACTTCCTCTGAAACACAGCACCTTAAACTGACATTAGGCCCTTTAGCTTTGGTAATGTACACCACTTCTTTTTTACATGAACATGTTAAGCATTTCTGGAAGAAAAATTGTTTATAGATAATTAAAAGATCTTTAAAATACTTCAAGATTTATCTGTTGGAGGCCTATCATATCAGTACTGCTGACTTTTAACTGAAATGCAATGTCCTGTTTTTAAAAAGGAAAATGAAAAATTATATAATCGAGTAAAAGATCTCCAAGAACAAAACAAGAAAAATGAAGAGCAAATGTTTAAGGAAAACCAGAGTTTAGTCAGTGAATTATCTTCCTTAAGGTAAGTCCTTCTGAAATTCTTCCAAGCAAAAATACTTAAAATATTTCTAAGCATTTTATTATTACATTGACTTATTTTTACTTAGAAATTTTTTTTGCATTTATTTATTTTCATCTGTACACTGATTTCTAGCTGAATAGTAGATTTTTCTTTGATTATTGGATGACTAGTACATGCCTCAGTATTTTCAGGATATTCACGTTTTGAGTTTGGCTTCAGGATATTGAATATATACTCCTTTTCTTGACACCGTATATCCTGATAACCTCCAGGTTAGGGATTGCTGTTTGGCTAGAGCATTTCGCCAGAGGAGACTTCTGTGAGTTATATCAGCCAGCACTACTACTGGGGATAAGAGAGGACCGCCACCTGTTTACTTACATTCCAGTCTAGTGTATCAGGTCTATGGAGTGTTACTGCCTATCTTCTACACAGAAGTACCCCAGCATCCAAAACTAATTCTTATGATGAAATAAATGTTTTCTTTAATACAACAGATCCAGATCTTAGATATCCTAAACTTTGTATATTACATGTGGAAAAAAACCTGAAAAGTAGAGTTTGGTTTTCTTCATTTCCATGCATAAAATTGTCTATTTGTGTTTTATCAGAAGAGTCTAGATTTAGGATAAGGAGTATTTTACTACTACAAGAAAAATTCAGCACATTTTTCTGCACCATTGATTTTTTTTCCCCCTCTGAGAATGGAAGGAAATATATTTATATTATAAATAAAGCAGTAATCTTGGAACTTTAATTCTTTTAGAGTACATACAAGCATTTCCTTTAAAGAATATTTCTCTTCTAGTTCATTAGTGTTTTAAACTTTAGGATAAATAAAAATTCTGTCTTCAGTGATAAGTATAGTTTGATGTCTGTTAGTGTTTAATTCTTAATATTTTACATTGAGAGAAATGTCTAATAAAAGTATCCTTTTATTTTCAAAATAAATCAGAGAACAATTGAACAAAAGTCGTTTCCTATCTCAAGGAGTTGAAGATTCAGATCCTAATAGAAACCAGAGTTTTACAGATCTGTTAGCAGAACTACGGGTGGCACAGGTAAGTTGCATAAGGTTTCTAATTACTAGATAATAAAGATTATTATAAAAATCTCCATAACTGTAAAAATTGTTTTTGTAACATATGTGTGAATTAAATTTTTAAATTTCATATCATTTAAAATTAAGAAGAAATATCTAAGATTAGCGTTTAGTATACATTTGATCTTCACATGATAGAAATAATGTCATAACTGATGTCGTACGGGCTGTAGATGGCATCCTGTGTCAGATTCAACAGGCATTTATCACGTGGATCCCTTTTGGAAGCATAACTTTTCTAGGACATGAATGTATATTTTATTTTAAATAATTTCTACATTTGAAAGCATAAAGTATGCAGCTAAACTAGTAAAATAATTTGGAGGTAATTGTTCACCTTAAAAATTACTAACGTTACCTCTCAGTCACTGGAGAGGTAAAAAAGGAGAAGGGCTTTTTGCTGGTATTTCTGTCTGGAAGATGGTTTTAGATTACAACCACAGCTCCTTCTGTATGTGCGTAAGAAAGAGTAAATACTTGGGCTTGTTGTGCACAAAGTTCACACTCTATTCTTCAATATCTAAGCTGTATAGATGTCCTAAGGTAATAATGTATGGAAGATAAAAAGTAGAACTAGGGAGATCGGCAGCTTGTAAATATCTCAGTGCTCCAATTAATAAAGAACAAAGAAATACTAATTGGTTGTGTACTTATCTTCCATTGTGGCATGCACTTCCATAGAGCAGAGATTGTATCTTACACATATTTGTGTCTTGTCGACTAAAACTGAAATGCAGCGTTTCTCTGTAATAAATTGTATGGTAAAGAAGGTAGCCTAGAATTTTCTAATACTTATTAGTGTAAGAAAGTTTGAAATTTTGAGCAAGTTAATTCTATTTTAAACAGAAGTATTTTATAAATCACATGATTTTTATATTCTTGTTGCCTAGTACTGTATGCTCATATCACCCACCTGACTTTGTAACAGTCAAAACTGTTCTGTCGGCCTGGCGTGGTAGTGCACCCCTCTAATCCCAGCACTCAGGAGGCAGAAGCAGGAGGATTCCTGTGAGTTCAAGACCAGCCTATTCCTCATGGTGAGGGCTGGGCTACATAGCAAGACTGTGTCTCAAAAAACTACTCTGCCTCATGTCCAAACATCGTGTGGGCAGTTGCTTCTCCCTGTACTTCCTGTTGAAATGTACAGCACTAAATTAAAAACTTGCCAATCTATTTGAATGATTACCTACATTTAACATTCTGTTACCATAAGTTTACTGTGCAATTAGGAAATATACCATAGTTTCATATCTGATGTTGGACAGGTTTTTGTAGTGTATGAAAAGCAGCTTTGCATGTGAATCTATTAAATGAACTTTGTTCAGATGTATATAGGAATGTATTTGTAGAATTAGACATATAGGTTGAATAACTCTCCTTATCAGTGTACCTCAAAAATGAGCAAGTTAAATTAATTTTGCCATGTTTTATGAAATCTTGAAAGAATAAAGTTTCAAGCATAGCTTCACTGAAGAAGTTTTTAGTGATGTTTTAAAAATTATATTTTGGGCCCTGGGATTTAGCTCAGCAGCATAAGTGCCTGCTTGGCAAACGCAAGGTCATGAGTTTGATTTCCGGTACCACAAAAAAATAAATAAATAAAAGTTGTATTTTTATGACAGAGCATTATAATGCAAATTACGTTTATTAGTAAATGGTATACATATTCAAAGAGGCTAAGGTTAGGGGAAGTTTTTAAAGTCACAAAGGGAGAAATCTAAGAAAGCCACTTGGATACAAAGTTCATTGGTCTTAGAGATCAGAGGCAGAATTTGGCTTCAGCTCATTGGTGGAGATGCCATTGCTGGACAAATATTTTGTTCAGAGTATCTTATCTGGATTGCAAAGTATTTTTAAAATGTTTAATATAAATTTTATTACAGAAATATGTGAGTATGTCTCAGGCTTGCAGAAGCAAGAGTCATACATACAGTGGGATTCATGTTGGTTATTTAGAAAGTCCTTGCAGCGCTACTTACTTAAGACAAGCAGGCTTGAGCCCTCATTCTGCATTTATAGTAGTTGTCAGTTATGGTGCACCCTGAGTTATGTGATACGATAGGGCAGAGTGAGGCCTGGCTTAACTCAGAAGAGCCACCAGAGGGTTTCACCCAGCAGTGATGTCTGCTGACTACAACAGTTTCTTTGACTGCTGTGAAGAACTTAGACTAAGAGCTGGGGATGAAAGAGGCAGACTAGCTAGGAGGTTGCTACAGCAATCCAGCTAAGAAAATTGCTAAGTGTCAATGCAGGTAATAAATAGAAGATAGAACAATAAATTAGAAAGTCTGTGATAGCTGTGTTGAAAAGTTTGGAACTAATTCTAATTAGTTTTGGGGAGCTACTCATGGTTCAGGGACAAGGGGGCAGACGGTAGTAATAAAATCAGGCCAGAAATACAGGAAAATGCTTCTCAACAGTATTTTTGATAGGTTGAGGGAAGAGACTATATCATAGGTTATTGGGCTGGGAAGTTACTTGCCTTTGTATTTCTTTGACTATGAAGAAAGAGAAAAGCATTTTGTTGGAAGACATCAAAAGACTGAAGCAAGACAAACAAGCTCTTGAAGTAGACTTGGAAAAAATGAGGAAAGAGCGGGATCAAGCCAAAGATCAGATTGCTTATGCCACAGGTAAAACAGAGCTGAAACATTATCTTGTATACTCAGAACTGTTCTAATCTTGAATTTAAATAATCAAGTTTTATGCCTTTCATTTAATACCTTTTAAAATTGTGCCATTACTCTAAAGTCTCTTAATTTCAGTGGTTGGTTTGGATTTGGTTGATATAATTAAAATTCTATTCCTTGAAGTGTATTATAATCTTAAAAGATGTGTACCTGTATTAGTTTAATAGGAATCTTGCAAGATTAAAGAAAATCATGTATTATAGTGAATTCATGTCATTTTCTGTTTAGTCATGTATATATCTGTCATCCTAGCTAGACTATGAACTTCTGTAGGGCAAGGTCTTTTTTTCCTAGGTCTGAAACATAGACTTAAGTATATGCTAAATGAATAAGTAACACTACACTGTGTTTTAATGAGAATATAAGGATAAATCTGACTTGGTCCCTGTCAGAAAAACAAAAGGGAGTAAGATAAGAATGCCGAAAGCTTTTTATAATTACAAATAAACATGAGAGGAGATGGGTGCTAAAAGTTTCAGGGAAGTGACATTCGAGCTGGGCCTTGATGGTCAGATTTGCAATTAAAGGACTCAAGGGAGGCTTTTCAGAGTGTCCCAGGAGCACACTGTTCAGTGCACTTGCAGGGTGCAGCCGAGGATGATGGAACGCGGGGCTGAAAGATCAGGTGAGCCCTATTGGCCAAAGCCAGACCTTTTCTCTACAGTGTAATCAGTGTCAGATAGGAACAAGAAGTCTTGTTCCTAATGGTTTGGAGAAAACAACCAAGAAAAGTCATTTGCTTTCCTCATCTGTGAAACCGAATGATAATTTTTAAAAAGAAACATTTTAAGAAATTTTAAAATTTAATGTAAGCTTATTGTGGTAAATAAACACTGATGAATATTTACCACTGTTGTATTTTAATGTAATTGGTAGGCATTCTTCCTTTTATTATCTCTGAATTCATCTTCCCATGGAAACAACTTCAATTTTATAGTGAATGTTGGTAGGAAAACAATTATCAAAAATTTCTAGAAAGCCAATTTTTGGCCAGTTTAGTATTTTGATTATGAATATAGTCTCTCATTCTACTAGACACCATACTGTGTATCAGTTTTGTGGCTTTTATTTCTTTATAAAGTATACATTATTCAAAATCTTGCAATTTTATTTATTTCTATATTTTGAAAAATTATAGTCAGGTTAGTTACTTTATCATACAGGTGAAAAATTATATGAAATAAAAATCTTAGAAGAAACTCATAAACAAGAAATCAGCCAACTACAAAAGAGATTGCAGTGGTATGCTGAAAATCAGGAACTTCTGGATAAAGATGCAGTTCGGCTTAAAGAAGCCAATGAAGAAATTGAGAAGTTGAAACTTGAGGTAAGGGATGATTTCAGAGTGCATTTCTGTAGATGAACCCTGTTGTCCTCATTATCAGTTCGGCATACCCTTGTATAATTACACCATTATTCTAGAGTCTTAGTTTTAATAACTGCTTTGGACTTTCGTTGTATTGAGATACACAGTTTCTTTTAGATTAAGCTAGTGCAGGCTCTGTCGCAGCCCTTCAGGTCTGCATGTCGTCTGAACCTTGCCAGCCTCGTCTGGAACCACACCTTCCTTAGGTGCTCTCCTCTAGTCACACCAGAGCTCCACCGATTCTTTATCCTATCAGACCAGGTACATTTTTTGCCTTGCTGGAGAATACTGACCTGGATTCTTCCCTAACTCACTTCTTGTTAAACAGCTCAAATTGCTCAAGTCTCAGCTCTGAAACCTTTCCTGAATCACTGCTCTGATGTAGCTGCCAATCCTGCCTTTATTTTTTATTCCTGTTCTTTCACTCTGTTCTGTTATCTTCATGGCACTTGTCACTGTGTCATAGACATTACTTATTAGCTTTTCAGCTATCTCCTTCCATGAGAGCACACGCACGATGAGCTCAGGGACCTCCTTTTTCTTACTCGCCCTCCTTATCTCTAGCAGTCCTGTGCTGTGCCTGAAAAGTGCCCAAAACTAAGGATGAGTTCAGTCAGTGTTTGCTGAGTAATGAACAAATCAGTCAATTTACTAACATGCTTCTACTCTGGGAGCTTTTCTTTTATGTTTTAAATATGCTTCTTAATGTCTTTATTTGTTGGCAGATTGAGAAACTGAAAGACAAATCTGGGAATCCATCTGCTCAGCAGAAGTTACGTTCCAGAGATAGAGGAACTGATGCCAAAAAAATTCAAGATCTAGAGCGACAAGTATGTGTCATGGGTAAATTTTTATTGAAGTACCTTTTATATGGTGCATTTTTGATTCAGGAGTTCCCGTGAGATGTACTAGATCTAGAAAATGCTCATTTTACAATGGCAATAAAAGTAATAAGCAACTTTTATATAATCTATAACTTCTTAAAAGAATGTTACAACATGCATCAGTTGTAAGATGGTATACCTATTGAGGAAAGGACATTTTGCATCCCACATCTATTAGACATGTAGGAAGGTCTGGTATAGAGGCAGAATTTCTTCTTTTAAGCTATACACCTGGGACATACACGTATAGTCCCAGCTACTGAGGAAACTGAGATAGGAATCTCGTTTGACCCTTGGAGTTCAGGGCCAGGCTTGGCAACATAGCAAAACCTCATCTCTTTAAAAAATAAGAGAGTCCTTTTAACCAAACGTAAATGGAAAAAGTGCAGGAAGAAAGACCCTTGAACTGGGAACATCTTAGTAATGACTGGGAACTATTAGAAACACTCTAAAAATAGAACATTCAGCCTCCCAAAGAGCTGATCATCACCTCGCTCATCGTTTAGGGTTAGAAGTATTGGTTTCATGGTCAATGTGGCTAGGAGACAATTAAAATCATACACTGAAAGTTATTAGAGTAAAATGATTAAAGTACTTGGGCAGGAAGCAAAGTTATAGCTACTTTTTCTTCATTTTAAAACATTCTGTAATGCACCATTCATATTTATTACTGAATATTAAAACAACAAGAATTTCCAACTGTGTTTGTAAGGCAGCCTGTAGTCAAGTCATAATACTTAAATGTATTGCTATTATTCCATCACAAATCTAAAATTCTGAAGGCATCCCTATACTGAATATTATTCTAGTTTTATGAAAAGCAGAAAAGCTAAACAAAAAATTAACTTTGTTACTTTTCAGGATCTTTTGTTATGCTGAAAGGTATGATAATAGATTGGGTCAGAGACTGAGAAAAGTATAGGACAGAGGTGGTTTGCAGAGCTAGAAATACTCTAAAATGACTCCTTGAGGGTTTGCTTGGATTTTCTTCAGTGCTTAAGATTGACAGTGTGGAAGCCATCAGAATTGTAAAAGAAAAACAACCAAAAAATTACTTCTCCAGGAGGTGACTTTTTTAAAAAAAATCAGGTATAATTGAATGCATGAAAGTAAAGAAGTAAAGTGCTTAAAGATGAAAATAGAGACCTCAAACAGTGATCCAGATTGACCAGAAATGTATTATGTTATAAAATTAACATCTTGTATTAACTTTTGTTAAACATTTGGTTTTATCACTTTAGATTGTATCTTTTATAATATAATCATCATTTAATATTTTGTTTACTTGGATGTCAGATCTTTTTTACTTTGTTTCCACAAGAATTTCTATCCTAATGACTTTAGACCTTAATATATATTTTATAATGAAGGTATAGCACAATACAGTCAAAATAATTTTAAGCCATGTTATAAGATTAATCCATATTATATAAATTATATACAAACAAAATGTTTTTCTAAAGAACATAAGTAAAATGGGACAAATCAGATACATTTTATGATGAAAATTTCAGATTATGGCTGTGAGTTCATACTTTTACTTAATTGAATATTTCATTGTTTAATTTTGAACAAAAGTTTTCAAAAATTTTACTTTGTATACCAATGCCATTGACCAAAGAATATTTTAAAGTAAAATTAAAGATACAAATAAAATTCAATTTTCCTGAAAGTTAATATATTTCTACATTTTAAAATTAGAATGAAAATATTTCTTAAAATACTTAAACACAATTATAAATATGTAAGTTCATTTTTAAAAATCTTTTTAGGTTTTATATCATTGCATGTTCATAGGTTAAAAAACTGTTTAGCATGGAGCTTTGGTGTCTGTTTTTATAGGGTATCGTAACCGTAGTACCTTTTAAAATGCAGGTATACTCACATAGGCACATATACAATGGTACTTTGGTTCACAAATTTAATTTGTGTTACTGTTTTGTGGAAGATGGCTACATTTATGTTTGTGTGGGGAAGATGGTCACAGCGGTGTATCACGCAATGCGAGTTTTTGAATGGGAGCAAAATTTTGTTGAATGCTTTTGAGAACTGAATTCTTAGCAAACAGACGCATTCATGAACCAGTGTACTATTATAATATCAACCTGTAAATTCTATGGATTCTGTTGCAGTTATGTCTTACAGGAAGACCATATCATGGGTCCTTGTTTTATAGACTAAATGAGCAGTATTCTTTTATGAAGATTTCATTAAATGTTGTCACATATTCCTTGCCTCTGTTTTAAAGTAATTTAAGCTTTATTTGGAAAGACCCTTCAGGAGAAGTTAGGGTGGAGAGGGTTCCAAACAGGACCAAGTTCCCAGAAAGTTCCAGGAATACTGCAGAATGTTTGCTATATGAGCATGTGTATGTAAGTAATTTTTCAATCAGTCTGTTGTGGAAGCACTATCATACAGGGGTATCTATAAAGGAAAAAAGATCCTTGTATTCAAGAAGACTGGTTATTAGTAACATAATAGAAAAACTTGAAGGTGTATTCCAAATGACTATCACAGGACTTCTGTAGTTAACCAGTAGTTAGACCATTATACCATAGGGTCTTGCTATGGTTGATACATTGTGTCAACTTGAGAAGTTTAGAAGTTTTAACAGAGACTCAGTGGGAAGCCAGGATTCTTACTGTGTAAGTATCCTCATCCTCTGCAAGAGGAGGGTATGGAGATTTTGTGAGTACTACACCTGCCCTGGGGTTTGGGGGTGGCCTGCATACAGTATAAGGGAGAAAAAGACCTGCTCTTCTGCTCTGGCTGCTGCCTTGAGGTCTTGCCCTAGTGTCATGCCACCCTGCCTTGGAGCCGGCTGATTATGGACTGAAACCTTGACGAACTGTAAGCCAATAAACCTTTTCTTTAAATTTTGGGTGTAAGATATTTTGTCTCAGCAAGGAGAGAAAAGTAACCAAGACAAGTCTTAAATCAGATAATCTAGGATTATAAAATTTATTGGTTTGTATTTCTATGCCTTTGATCCAGTCTGGAGACATGCGTGCTTTGGATATCTGAGATTCATATATGATTGACATAGCATAATTAACTTTACACATTAAATTGACTTTATTTTTAAAAAATATTTTTAAAGGTTAAAGAAATGGAAGGAATTCTGAAAAGAAGATACCCCAATTCCTTACCTGCTTTAATATTGGCTGCCTCAGCCGCTGGTGATTCAGCAGACAGAAATACAGTAGAATTCATGGAGAAAAGGATTAAAAAGTTAGAAGCTGACCTGGAGGGCAAAGATGAAGAAGCAAAGAAAAGCCTTCGTACCATGGAACAAGAGTTTCAAAAAATGAAGGTAAGCACGAGGCAGCCATGGAGTTTGCACTCAGAGATGGACAGTGGCGACAGAGCCTTCTTGCCTCTCATCTTAACAAAGAGGCCTAAACGTGCTTGCCACAGGCCTTCGCTACAGCTGCACTTCTGTTATCCTGTCTTACACTGTTTCATCAGCTTTTGTTCAGACATAAAATAGTCAAGCATAGAGTAATCTTCACGTCACCTCTCTCAGTGTTAGAATTAGTAGAAGTTAAGCCATGGAAGAAGCAGGTTAATGCCCCCATAATATTTGTTTAGCATGACAAGGAATAAGAAATTATCGTGATAGAACATTTTTCACTGAAATTTATCTTAGATAGGCGTGAAAGAGATGACAGAGCACACGTGTTGAGAGGTGAGGTAGAGATGCAGGCAGGCATCTTCAGCAGTTGCTTCCTTCTAAGTTTTCTACCCCTTTGTGAAACAAAAGGGACTTGAAACATAACTCCCAGTACAGACCAGGGATACAGTGGCGTATTGTATTCAGTTTACTGTTAGACATTTGTTGAGCACGTGGTTGTTGTGAGGTCTGTGCAAGATGATTTCACGGACTTCCCACTTCATCTTCTATAACCCTTCCGGTTAATGGGGAAGCAGACATTGTTACCCTGTATCAGAGGAGAGGACCGAGGTTTTCACAGTTTAAACATCTCTCCCAAAGTTCCCCTGCTGGTGAGGAGCAGAGCATGGCGTGAAACCGAGGGTTTCTGGCCACAATCCTGTGACAAATTGCTTCTGGTAAGGTGATCTCATTCCCCACAGATTTCTGGCCTGAGAAAAGCAGCAGATGAGAGAACATTAGATTCCAGAGACAATAGAAGGTTGAGTCTTGGAAGTGTGGTGGCCTGACAATTAAGGTCACATCAAAGGAGGTTGTGTTTCCGGTATTCACAGGCCTCTCCGCCTGCCTGGGGTTCACTTTCTTTCCCACTGTCCTCCTCCCTGATGTACACTCGTTACACCCAGCTCGCAGTCATCCTGACAGCTTCACCTTGTGCCCCAGGCTACTCTGCGTGCTCCAGTCCTGCTGCTGTGTGTGTAAGAAGGCTGCACAGCTGAGACAGCGCGGCTGCTGAGGTCCGCGCGGCAGGTTTCATGAATCCCTTCGGCGCTGCATCATAAGGAGCACCGCTGTGAATGTGGCCAGGCATTTCTTTCTTCCACGTGTTTAACCGTTCACTCCAATTCTTTTAAGTTCATCTTTCCCCACCCTCATCCGTTCTCCTTTGAGCAGACCTTGCCCCCTTGTATGTAAATGGTAGTGTATTCAGAAACACCACTGTAGACTCAGGACGCCCAGTCTAGGCTCAGTTCCGCCCTGAATGAGCTCGTTACTCTGCTTCTCTGAGCCTCGGTTTTCTCATGTGTGCCACAAATAATTACTGACTTATTGCTAGTTATATTTTTCTTTAAAATTATCTTTTAATTCTATCCCTTTATTAATATGTAACTATACTACAATCATTAATAAAAAATGGGCTAGGGTAGGTGCTCAGTGGTAGAGCACAAGTGGTATTCCCAAGACCACTAGGGTTCAAATCCCAGCACCACCACCAAAAAAAGTGTATTTCTTGTATTACCATAGTAACTTCAACTAGTCTACATGTACCCATTGTGCCCATCTTACAACTCATGACTAAAAATCCAAATTATATTTCATATTCCTCTACCTTCTATATATTCATACATGTCACTTGTTGACATCCTGTCAGCAGCTTCTTGTTTCTATTAGGATAAATAAGCAGCATTTATCCACACATGACCAGGCATTTCTGTCTTCTTCACTATTTTTTTATACCATGCTTGTTCCTTTCAATCATATTGGCCTGTTTCACCGGCCCCCTTAGAGTGTGTGTGTTTGTTGGTATCCTGTGAGCAGAGGTATTCCTGTGATTCAGATTTCAGCCTAAACTTTGCTCTAATGAAGTGCAAAAAAGTTTTTAAACAATAAGCAATCAGTGTTCCTGCAGCTGATGGGAATGAACTCTCAGCCCGAGGCAGCTCCACAAGCACAGCCACTGGCTTGCGTTGCTAGTTGCCTCTGCCTTCTTCTAGACTCTGAACTCCATGATGGCTAAGTCTGTTCTGCTCTCATCTGTTGATGTATTGTATTGTTCAGCCTGCTGTGGAGAAGATGCTCAATAAAGTCTTTAAGTAATCCTTGTATTGTAAGGTATTGGCAGTATTGGGTGTTGTATAAGGCCCTAGACTATGCTTGGAGTATGATAATCAGTAAATGATTATAGTTACTCATATTCTGCCAAGCAGACAGTTCAAGTATGAACTGCAACGCCCCCCCCCATTTTTATATATCTAAACCCAGGAATCTAACTTAACTTCTCCCTTTTTATATCCCCCAGCTCCATCATCCCACTCCTGCCCCTGCTCATTGCATGTTACTTTCTCTTGTTGACGCTCAGAACACACCTGGCACTTTCATGTGACCTCTCCTTCTGAAAGGTCTGTGCTTCTGCTCATCTCCAAATGTACAGTCCTCCTTCAGGACCAAACTTCAGTGTGCTATTTCTGCTGGCTCCCACCTTTCCCAGAGCTCTGGATTCTCACTCCCTCAGCACTGTGTTCCTAGACCATCACCACAGTTAGTACAGGGCATTGTAACTTCTTACATTACTGGCTACTTGGGGCCCTGTTACAAAGGAAATTCATCTATGATTGCTGTAGGCATCTCCTCAGCAGGCTGTGAACTCTGAAAGTAAGAACTGAATCTTTTCTTAACTCTGGAACTACCACAGTACTTGACACAAATTTATAGTTTAATAAACATTCATTGATTGAATAAGCAAACTCTATTCGTACCTCTCTCCATGGAGTAAATTGTTGTTATTTTTGTATACCAAGGCTCTAGTATACAAATTCTAGGCTCTCTTATGCCCTGTAAGATTAATAAATTGATGTTAAAAGATTGAAAATGTGCTGTTCCTCAGACTTTAGTACCCCCAGATGCTTTACCTATTCACAAAGAATATGTTTCACAATTTGCTAAAAAAGAGTGCACAGTAGGTTTAAATTAACCTATTGATGTTAATAATTTATTAGCAGTACATTAATAAATTAATGTTATTAATTTAACAAGCCTTTATTTTTAAGGTTCAAAATAAATTGGGGTATTCAAATTATATGTGTATTTATGCAGCAACATTATGAAATTGTATGACATGTCAAGTTTGTATGATATATTGCCCTTCAAACAATAAGACGATACTTTTGACTCACAAAAGTTGAATACATTAGAATTTATAATACCTGAATGAACCCTAAGACCTGCTTGAGTAACTAATGAAATGTTTAGCAGTGCTTTGATGTTACATAGATTCTCTCTTTAGATTCAGTATGAACAAAGAATTGAGGAACAGGAGCAGCTACTTGCCTGCAGATTAAAGGAAATGCCTCAGAAGCAGCAAGACAATTCCAGAGTTAAAGTCCTGGAAACAGAACTCAAGGACATTAAAGAGACCCATCAAACCATCGTAAGAGACCTTGAGGCAGAAATAGATGTTCTTAAACGTCAGAATGCTGAATTAGAACTCAAGAAAAATGGCACAGACGACAAAGATTTCCAGTCTATAGAACTCCAGGTGGAACAGGCCCATGCCAAAGCTAAACTAGTAAGACTAAATGAAGAACTGGCTGCCAAAGGAAGAGAAATACAGGACCTTTCAAAGACCGTGGAGAGGCTTCAGAAGGAGAGAAGGATGATGCTGTCTAACCAGAACACAAAGGGCAGAGAAGAGATAAATGCCAAAAGGGTGAAAAAAGATGTTTTACACCCAGATAAAGGAAACACAAACTACTCTGGAGCCCTGAATGGCAAGCTGTACCAACCACATACCTTTACTGATTCCCATATTTCAGAAGTTTTACAAGAAAACTATAGATTAAAAAGTGAGCTGGAGGAATTAATTTTGGAGAGAAATACACTAAAGATGGAATCTGAAGCAGCAGTGAACCAATTTGAAAACTCCATGAAAAGGTAAAATGTTAAGTTGTGTATAAATACTTGGGAATCTAAAACACTTTTAAATATCCTAAGTCATTTTGTCTGGATAACTAGTCTGGCCTTAAACCAAATGTATAACTAGATTTTTAAAAATTGTGTTACTTTGCTGAGCATTGATCTGTTTCAGGGTAGCATTCTTAACCTGCCAGAGGCCCAGGTTCCAATGAATGAAAATCTGTGCCATATCCTTGGGCTGATCCATCTTGTCTTTCTGTATGTTTCCAAATGATGTTAATGATTAATAAGCTGGCCACTTGGGCCCTTGTTACAAAGAAAATTCATTTATGATTGCTGTAGGCATACTGCTGTCAGAAAACAACTAATTGACGATCTAAGAAGAAAAGGTTCTCTTTTCAAAAGTAAATTTCAGACTGTCCTGATGATCGTGCATGACGTGAGGAACTTTATACATTGTTTTTGCAGAATGTCCAGCTGCTGCCCACCTCTGTCCACTGAGCCTTTGACAGTCCAGTCCTTCTGCTGTCTTCCAGTCTTCCTTTCTTTCTGCTTCACCTTATCTTGAGCGTGGCTCTGCTCACCATTCTTTACAGTTTGTTCTGTCAACAATGACTTGTCCCGGTCCAGTGACATTTTCTGCATCCTCGTTGTTTTTGAGCGTGCTGAGCACATAGCCTTTCTTCAGGTAGTTTCCCCCTTAACCTCTATGGCGTGGCAACTCTAGAACGTCTCTTTCTGACTTTAGGTCCATTTCCTTTCCCTCCTCCAAATCTTTCTACAAAAGCTTAGTTCTTGGCTTTTTGTTTATTCTATTCTTGCTCTGGTGCTAAACATATCTATTCTTATAGCTTCTATGAATCATAGCTTCCAGATTTATTTTTCAAGGCTTGTTCTCTGATGGCAAACCTACAACTGCTGGTTTGGATTACTCTACTTACAACCAAAAGTACCTCAAGTTTTCTCTTTTTTACCCATAAACTACTTCCCCCTCCCGAGTTCCCCATTTTTGTCTATGGCCATCCTAATTCCCTCTGCCAGGCCTTCCTTTTTAGCTTGGGTTCGTGGTATATAAGGCACCTCCTTATAAATAGTCATCATTTAGCTGTCTTCCTCATTGTACTAAACAGAGGCAGACTGTGTGATTTACTACATGGTTTTCCTGCCCTAATCACCCTTCATTTATACCTCCCCCAGTCATCGTGCTTGAAAAACGTGAATCTTCTTTAAATATTTCCATATCTAATTCCCTCTGCCCTCCAGTGACTTCCAACTTCCATAAATATCAGCACTAAATTTCTCTGTCTAGCATCTTACGGCGCCCCACTATTCTAGTTGTATTCTATGAGGTATAATCGAAAGTGTTTTTAAGTTTTTTAAAAAAATTCATCACATAAAAGATACATTTACCATTAATGGCCCTCCAAAGATTCTCTTTTGCTTCAGACACGCGTATTTCACATCTTGCCACTCTCAGAAGCAGTTCTAGTTGAGTCTGTAAGGAGTGTCTTCAGTTGTAGGTTGTTAGGTAAATGGTGACAACTCAGTAAAGAGCCCAGCAGCATGAATTTGGGGTTCTGGGTGGGTGGGAGCTCCTGGAATAACTCCAAAGGAGAGTCAGGGTCTAGTTCATTGATGTGGTCTTTTATGGATGGGTTAGTAGTGGGATGGGTTACTGTGGGGTGATGTGAAGGGGAGGGCATGAGGCTGAGCAAATGCAAATGCCTGACTGCATGTTTATAGGAACAGGCTTTATCACCTAACACGGGGGCAGATGTGTTGTTTCCTAGCAGGGCAGGCTTGGGTTCAGGCAGGGACTGTAAGCTAGAAACAGGATGATTGATTTTGGAGCTCAGAAACGTGGGTGGCTGTGGAGGGCAGCAGGAGTCAGACCTGCCATGCTGCTCTGGCTGCCTTGATGTCCTGAATCTTTCAAAATGTTTACTTTTCATGGTCATTTTGCTTTTGGGAGAGATCCAGAAGTTGAACAGTGCCAGATCTGGTGAATAAGGGGGATGAGGACCCTGAAATACTCTCACAAGCCTGCCTTTCTTTCCATGACACTTGGCAGCAGCATTCATCTTACCATGTTTTTGACATGAAAGAAAACTTCTAGAACTGCTCCAGAAAATGGCAAGAGTGATAAATATGTTCAAAGGTGAAAGAGAGTATTTTGAGGGAAGTTAAGAACAATGTGTGTCACTGTAATTTTTTTTAAGTTCATGGTATATTTTGATCACCTTAACCTGCCACGTTTAATTCCTTTTGCTCATTTGTTTCAAGTTTTACCTCCTCCACAAAACATTTCTTGGAGCTTTGTAGGAAATTGCCTGCCCCCAACTCCTGCACAACTTGTAATGTGCACCGGGAAAATGTTAATCATACACAACTTTGTGGCTCCTTGAGAACAGATGTTCAGTTATTTCTTTGCATCCCCACAGAAACCCAGTGTAGGAGCCGAGGGAGCATGGAAAGGTTTAACAAGTGCACGTGGATGGACTGTGCACCAGGGCGGTGAATGAGTCATCCTGACGCCCAGGCTGTGCCACACTCTGAACCTTCTCTCTTCAGTGCGAAAGCTAACTGGGGAGAATCATGTTCTTTCCTATAAATTTCCAATCTAGATTTTTCTTGCACATTTTCTAAACGTTTTTGTAAATGTTCTTTTATTGTCAGACTATTTCTCAGCTCTAAACCTGAGCAACAAACTTTCTGGGTTGTAGGTTTAGGCGTTTTTTTAAAAATTTTAATTATAATCCAGTCCTATCATAAGTTTGAAAGTTTCCTACTTCTCTAGAACTCTAACCATACTATTTTCATGGAGAAATGCTCATAGAGAAAGCATGCGATAAATTGTCTATAACTCATAAATTTCTATGAATTGCTATATTAGTATGTATCAATAGTGTTTCATAACTTTTCCATTAAACTGCCAGAATGCATAAATTTTGTCATAGAGACAAATGAATTGTCTCACGTTTATAGTCCAAATTAACTAAATGCAGATTCCCTTGTATCCTGAGAATTACCGCGCAGATCATCTCATTCTCACAACATGCGCCTAGCCCTGGAGTCATATATTTATGCACCAGAACAGTGATAAATGCTGCCTGCGCACAAAGGCAATAGCTTTGATTATACAAATGAGAATCTGAGCTGGAAACTTGAATTTATCTTAAAATGTCAAGCACATTCCTTTAAATTCATGCAGATATTGTGAAACTTTAGATTTTCTCAGAGAATATAGGCTCAGACTTTGAAGTCTAACTCTGCTTGACTTGAACCCTAGCTCTGCAATATACTCTTCTGGGACCCTGAATATTTCACTTTTTCTACATCAGGTTCATCCTTGTGAAATCTACTGAGTAGGGATATAGCTCAACAGCACAATAGCTGCCTGGCAAGCACAAGACTGAGAGTTCAATTTCCAGTTTAAAAAAAAAAAAATCTAGTGAGTCTTGGAGTAATTGCAAGAAACTATAGGTAATAATGTACGAGGACCCCCCCATGGTATAGTTAATATTGATACCCTCTTTCCTTTGTTTCTTTCATTCCTAGGCTTCTTACACTGATTTTGTGCTAACGCTGAGTTACAGTTGAAAAGCCCCTATTATGTGTGAATTTCATTTGTTCTGTAGGGTCAAGGAAGACACTGCAGCACATATTGCATCCCTCAAAGCATCCCATCAGAGGGAAGTAGAGAAACTCCTTTGCCAAAATGCTGTTGAAAATTCTTCTTCCAAAGTAGCTGAACTGAATCGTAAAATAACAACTCAAGAGGTAAATCATATAAATGTGTCTTGATCTTTCTTTGGCTGTAATATATGTTATAGGACTGTGAACATTAATTTGGAAATATTTTAACTTCACTTTTTCAGGCTGACAGAAATGGAAAGTTATTAGCTTATGTTTTTTTATAGAAGAGGATGTTGTTGCCATGTATTTGATGTTTCTACTTTAAAATTATGCTTTAAATGAATGTTTTTAGTTTGATCTCTACTCTTCTCAAATCCTCTAAATATGTTGTAACAGTTGGTTGCGGGACATGTCTAACGTGATTGTGACTTTAGTGAAGGTTGAGCCGCCTTCCCCCTCACACACACCAAGTCCCAGATGACAGATAATTTACTCTCAGGCATTCTTTCTGCCTGCTACCTTTCATCTATTAAATAAATGACAATTTAGGTTTGTAGACAGGTTCAGGGACAAAAGTAATGAGCAAACATACGCATAGTGCTAACCCTTATGAAACAGTCTTCTAAAAATTATGACAGAGAAGCCTGACAAGGTACCAGCATTTCCTTGAATAAATGTGTCTTCCTTTTTGGATAGTACATCCACTTAGAATATCCCAAAATATCCACCATGTGATCTATCTTCTCTGATGTTAGATTTTAAAAAGAGCATAACAATACAGCTGTTACCTGTAACTTACTTACAAATGATATATCCAAGAAAAGAAAATCAAGTCGAAGAATATATGAATGTTAATTTTGTTCTTCATCCTTTCTGTAGATTTTAATTTGAATAAAAAAAAAAACTTTAAGGAGAAAACTTCAAGAAATAATTGTCTTATGATCCATTCTACCTGTAGTTACTTGTTAATTAAAAAACAAATCCCTCAATTGTAGGAGTTTAAATATAGACTTGCTACTAAATACTGAGAAATTATTATAAATTGTCTTAGGTATGAAATTGTTACTGTGATTATTACAAGGAGGAATATTGAAGTATTGGGGTGGTAAAATTTATTGACGCCTGCAATTTAATTTCATTTGACTCAGAAACAGGACCATTGTGGTAATATAATGAGAAGGGAGAATTTAAATGCCTTTCAAAAGTTATAATCCATACAGCCTTGCAGATAAGTTTTCTAGCTGCTCCTCCTTCTTAGGCGTCAGGGAGTAGATGTAAGCATTGTATCAAGTGATTCTAAAGTAGGGAACAGTCTGCAAGAAATGGGAACAGTAATATCATAATACCATATGGCCACAAATATGTCATTTCCCAGAGTTATAAAAGTTAACAGTGTGAGATTCTGAGGCAAACAGAAGTTAGTGCAGTCTGATCAAAAAGAAGAGAAAAATATCATAAAGACAACACTTTTCAGTTTCTTATAGGAAATACCTTCATATATTTGTCTTAAAACAACTGACATCTCACACATTTTAGAAGGCCTCTTTTAAATTAACTTCCTACTTGATCACAAAATATAATATTGTCCATTTTCTTGCAGATGTTTAGAATTTAAACACTTAGGTTCAAAGATTGTTTTCAATCATAAATTGGCTTTATGTTTCATATGGTATTCAAGGGAAAACGTTATTAACACAGTGCTTCTGGCAATGTTCTAGGTCCTCATAAAACATTTCCAAAGTCAAGTTAATGAGCTGCAGAGTAAGCAGGAGTCTCTCGCAGTTTCTCAAGTTCGAGAAGAAATCCTACAGAAAGAGGTGAGCCATGCAAATGTTTCTGAGGCATTTCAGTCATATTTATACATAAAATGTGTGACTTACATGTGCATGTAGACACAACCTGAAAGTATGTATCACACATCAAGAAAATATTAGTAACTTGTTAATGTAAAGTTCTTCCTAAATGAAGTTCACACCATATCAGTAAATTGTATTTGCTCTTGAGCTTTTGTGTACAGTGGAGAAAGGAGTTGAGGGATGTTTGGTTCTTTGATTTTTTAGGAAGCCAAATTGAAATTGGATATTCAGAACCATCTCTGTACTAAAAGGGAGAAGTTTGTCCCCTCAACCTGAGCAGTTCTTAGTTGGACCAGACCTGACAACAAAAGACAAATCATGGAGAGGAAAAGAAGCTTACTAACTGAATGGCACAGAGTGTAGGAGAATCCTCACTGCAATGTAAAGCAGTGGCTGGGAACTCCAAGGAGACTTGGGTTAGAAGTTACAGGTTCTGTCAAGGCTAGGTATGTGTACAGTGATTTAATTAGAGGTGTTTCTGTGGAGGAAGGTTGAGAGTCTCCAGTGTTCAGGATGATCCCTTATACAGGGAGTGTGGAAGAGGTTAGCTGTTCTGCTGACTCTGCGGTGTAGACCAGGTTATGCGGCTTGTCAGGGTTTCAGGAAAAGGGACATGTGAACTTTTAATGATTCCAAGCCAGCAGGGTAAAAGCTGGCAATACTAGTTTGATAAATTACAATCTAACATTGAAAGAAAATAAAATTCAGGATCTAGGCCAGACGGCAGGTAAATAACAAAACCTTGAAGATTGATGAGAAGAGTTAGAATCTGATAGTCACAAGGGCATGGCATAATTTTCCACTGAGAAAGTTTTCCTCCTTACATCACTCCCATTTATGTCAAAATAGTCATATGACCAAGTCGTTCCCAAAAATGGGTCTGGTCTTAGGAAACTGGCCTTAATTATCTGCATAAACGCAACAAGAGTAATGATTGTATATGTTGGCTCCTTTTCTGCTTCGCTGTAACTTTAAAGAAGCAATCTTAGCCAGGCATGGTGGCATATGCCTGTCGTCCCAGTACTCAGGAGGCTGAGGCAGGAGGATTGCTGAGTTCAGGGCCAGCCTGAACTACATAGCAAGACCCTGTCTCAAAAAAAAAAAAGCAATCCCAAATTGTTCCTTTAAGAGGCTGTCTAGGCTAGGAAGACAAACCCTCAGATTTTACTAAAGTACTGGATGTGAACTCCCTGAACCTGTCAGATTTATTTTCTGGTTTCTGACTTTTATGCAAGTGACATGTGTACCCTGGTCCTGATAATCAGACTGAGTGATTTTTGCAAATCTTTTAGGGAAAGGGAAGTTAAATTAGGCAGGTAAGCATTAATTGAATTTTCTGGGGAAGTTGGAGAGGTTTTAGAAGTGTGAGGAGTTTGTGAAGGGATGAGACAGATGTTGAAGTAGGCTCAAGCCAGAGACCAGGAGCTCCAGAACATCTTCGTAGGGTCAGAGGGAATCTGAGAGATGAGCCTCAGCACTCCATGAGTCCTTCTTTAATTCTTATCTTCCCATAGACAACAAAAGAACATGTATTTAGAATAAGAGCTCCCAAAATGTAATCGTTTCAGTTATAAAATCCCAAATTTTAAAGGTACATGTATTTTAATATGACTCTACGTACTAGTTTTAACCATAAAAAGGCTTAACCACGGATGTGACATGACAAACCTCCTCAGAAACCTGCAGAAGATACAGTCAGGATTCAAAGTTTCTCCCAAAAACTAGCCAAGAAAGCAGAGTCTTACTGAACAGGCAGGGAGAACAGTGTTTCAAGTCTCCCGTAAAAGGCACAGTCACAGACCTAATCCATGACACCGAGCAGGCACTTAGAAAAAGCATATGAAAACTGAAATAGTATTTAATTTGAACATTTTGTGTATACATATGGCACCATAGTCTTTCATTCAGTCAGCATGACTGGGTTGTGTTCTAAATCTCAATAATCATCTTCACACAGGGTTTCATACCCAGCACCACCAAATAAAGTGTGTTGTCTTTAGTGGCTAATGCTATCATTAGGGATGTTCCACATTTAAAATGCTTATGCTGTCTCTGACTGCATTGCTTTTCATTTCACTTTTTCCCCCAACTAATTTGGGTAAAATGTGATTTTTAGAAGCATTATTTTAACTAAATGTTTCCATATAAAACATGATTAAGTTTATTAATTAATTTGCATTTTCGTGTGTATTACTGCCTTTTGGTATTAGTAAAATTGATTAATGAGATTTCAAAAATGCAACTAATTATGTTATTAAGCCTTAAAAACATTCCTATAAATCCCCTTCCATTTTACTCTAAAGTGCTAATCGCCATTTTCTTTGTGGACCATGCCATGCAAATAGAGGTCCTGCAATAAACTGTAACCTTTGTGAGGACAGGAACTGTCTTACCTCTGCATACACAGGTCCTGAGGCAGCAGTCAACACAGAAAGAGCCGGTGGTCAGAGCCGGAAGAGAGTTAGTTACAAATAAAATTATGGAATGTTGGTGAAAGAAATATATATTCATTGAACTTCTTGTTACAAATGCCTTATATCCAAACAGCCCACCAAAGAAAGTGCCCAACTTCGTGTTGAGTCCAAATCCAGATAGATACATGTGGAAGTTATGGTCCAGTCAGTCATCTGGAGCTCTTAGAATGGGAAGTGAGTTTGAGATAAGACAATCCTTTACTTCTGTACATGAGGAATAGAAACTATTAATTACTCAAAGAATCCAAGGTGCCTCTTACCTAGAGAAACTTTATACAAATACGTTTTAAGATTGCCTATTTAAAAAGAACTATGTCCTTAATGACTTTAGTTTTTCTCTTCATACTTCAATTTTAGATTACAAAACTCTTAGAAGAATTGAGAGAAGCTAAAGAAAACCATACACCAGAGATGAAACATTTCATGGGCTTAGAAAAGAAAATTAAACAGATGGAAATAAGACATAAGCAGAGAGAGCAGGAACTTCAGCAGGTAAAGTAGATCACGTGCGCATATGTTGTTACAGTTCTTCACTTTTAAGGACCACTAATTTGCTATAGTTTTAACTTGGTTGCTATAGTTTCTTCTTAAAGTGTTCTTATTATATGTTAAATCTTGTTAACAGTAATAACATTTAAGAGGAGATAAAACTTTTAACTCTCAAATACTTGCAATTGAATTTACCTTATATTTGGAGGGAGAAAAAAATTGTATCATATTCTTATCAATAGGTCCCTAAGTTTTACATCTACCCTGGGAGCAGGACTTTAAGAACAGTGTCCCTTATTACAAGTCATTTCAACAAATGTGTGTGAAAAAATTAATATTAAAATATTATATATTTAGCACTAATAACATGTTTACTACAGTTACAAACATCTGCTATTGTAAACTTCTAATATGGACAAGGTATGTTTTTAGGTACTTGCATTGGTGCTGATATTTAGCTTTGCTTTAACAGAGTACTAATCTGTTTAAGCTGCTATAACAAAGTATCATAGACTAGTTGGTTATAACAACCAAAATTTATTTTTCATAGTTCTGGAGACCCAAAAATGATCAAATTGGTTTCTGGGAAGGACTGCCTTCCCGGCTGGCAGATGGCCGTCCTCTCTGTATTGTCACATAGCACACCAATGGTGTCTCTTCACATGCGTACACTGTTTCCATCAGATCAGGACTCCATCCTTAGGATCTTTTTTAACCTTATTCCTTACCTCACACCAACAGTTAGGGCTTCAGTGTATGACTTTTTAGAGGTCATGGATATGCATTCCATACCAGTGTGTACTTAATACCTTTTCAAGACAGAAAAGACTGTCCAGGCAGAACTTTATGGATAACCTGAGTTCCACAGAGAACCAACCCCAGGGGTGATTTCTAGCTTTGTCCCACCTCAGCTCCTTAGACTGTTACGTATTCTTCACTCCTACTGTGAACCGTAACAGCACTGTGTAACTTTTGTATTGCAGATCATACAGCAAACATACCGAGTAGTAGAAACTGAGCAAAACAAAGAAATTGAGAAGTGGAAAAGACTTGCACAGTTAAAGAATCGGGAGCTGGACAGATTCCGCACAGAATTAGACTCCATATTAGATGTTCTTCGGGAGCTGCACCGGCGGGGGGTAGTAGTGCCAGTTGCTTTTGCAGGTGAAGTGAATGCACCAGAAATTTAGTAGGAACTCCGGTTTCAGATGACCTTCTCGAAAGGCCTGAAGATGAATAAAATTGTACCACTTTCAGGACAGATTTTGAAAAATGAGCTCCAGTGTGTTGCTAGAAGAAACCAACACAAACTCGCCATTTTGGAATAAATTACCCTTAACCAAAAGGGAACATAAAAGGTATCATGATACATTTTACTGAAGATCATTAGTCCCATTTTAAATGATTTATGGACAGGCTTTTTAAGTTAGATGATTACAACTGTGTAAGATTTACTGTAAAAGGTCTCACCTGCATGCTGAAAATGGAAAGAAAATTGTACATATTCCTCCGCGTTATTGATCAAAGGTGTAGTGATTTTCTTTGAAACAGAAAAGCAGCTGCTCTGTCTTAAGAAACTGGGTAGAGGAATGTGAGCCCAGGGGTGTGATAACCGGCTTGCTGCAACTATCAGCTGAGTCACAGAGCTCCCTCAGTCATTTAGATGAGAATTCTGACCTCCGTACAGGTAGACAGTGAATTCTCTGGTGTTCTAATTTTCCACCCTTTCCTCTAGCTGACTCTTCCTATGTGGTGTGTGGTGTAGAGTGAAAAGTATTAGGTTAATTTGAGGTGCTCACTGCATTCATCTTTTAGGCTGCAGCACAGAAATGCCAGTCCTAATTTTTTTGTAACTTGAAAAACAATACAGTAACTTTTACCTTTTCTCTTGAAAAGAAATCATTAGGAAAAAATACAAATATGAGTAGCTGCTTTATTTTACAATTCCCATTTCTAGAAACAGGTAGGAAATATGTGAGATAGTGGTAAGTCAAAGCTAAAACTAATTTTTTTTCAAATATTCTTGCCCAGGACTGTGTAATAAAAATATAATGGGACCTACATCTAATTTTTTTAATGCATAGTAGCTCCATATAAAGATAAAAATGAAAAAATGCAAAGTTCAGGTTTTATATTTTTTTCCTAAGTCTTCAGAATATGGTTTACATTTGTAGCACACCTCAGTTTGGGTTAGCTGCATTCCAAGTGCCCAGTGACTGTGTATGCCAGTAAGTGCAATGCAGTGTGATGATTACAAAGTAAAGTACTATATAAAGACAGGAAAATTAAATCTTGGTGGAACTGTGGGCAACAGATGTGAGACATAGCAGTTGTTAAATATAAGGAATATAATTATTGTCTTAATGCCCAGCATTTTTAATGTACCTTTTCTAAGAGTAGTAAAAGCATTATAGTTTGCTACTTTTTTAATGTGAAAATGTTTTAATTTATAATATAATTTATTTTTATTATTTGTTTGTAGTTTTGTGTATCTTTTATTTGCAAGCCTATGAACTCAACTGCACCCATCACTCCCTTTGTTCTTTTGACTGCTGTACATGTGTTCATTCCTAACGCAAACATAGCTGATTCTGATTCACAACAAAGTGCAAACATCAAGTATTTATGGACAAGTTACATTCCATTTTGATGAGGGTTCCATACTCAAAGTATAGTATGTTTTGGAATAAATTATGCACATATAACTGGTTAAAGTTTCATAAATACCATCAAAGATATGGTTACAACTAAAAACCTCAGAAACTGCTTCATCCCTTAAGGATTGGCCTTGGGACTAGATAAGAACACAGAAAATGGACACATTTGGGCTATTTTGAATAAGGTGGCTTTCATGAAGACTTAAGCTCCAGAAATAATTCTTTTTCACTGTGATGGTCAATTTTAGGTGTTGATTTGACTGGTTTCTAAGCCATATCTACAGCTAGGTTGGTCTATAAGGTTCTTTCTAGAAGAGACTGGCATCTGAATCAGTGGACTAAGTAAAAAAATCCACCTTCACGCAGTAAGGGAGAGTACTACCCAGATGGTTGAGGGAGGCCTGGATAGACAAAATGGCAAAAGAGAAGGCCAGCTCAGTCTTCTGGAGCTGAGATAGCCGTCTTCTGCTGATGGACCTCAGAGCTCTAGGTTCTTAGACCTTCAGTGTCCAGGACTAGTATCAGCAGGTTTTCGGGCCTTGGCCTCAGACTGAGTTTCACCATAGGCTCCCTTGGCTCTTAAGCCTTCCTTGGGACTGAGCTATGCCTTTGGCCTATCTGGTTCTCCACATCACAGTGAAACAATTTTTATATGCATTTATCTGCATTGGTTTTGGGGTTTCTAGAATTGGATTTACAAGTTGATTAGACTTAAAAACACTGAAGACTGTTTTCAACAGTAGCAAGAGTTCTGTTAGCGATGGCATAGTGACTCTGAACAGGACTATGATGACAGTTGGAACTGTTGTCACCAGAGGTGAAAGAAAAGGATAAGTTCAGGAATTTAATTCCAAGCTCAAGCACTGCATAAAATCTATGAACTTGTTGGTGTGCCTAGTTGGAGAATCTTAATTCCTGTAGCCACAGGACTGAAATTGTTAAGTCCTCATCATGGAATTGGATGAAGTACAATGGATGTTGAAGTCCCTGCTTCCAAGGGTGTGTATTGTTAAAGTGAGAGCATTGTGAATGAATGTAACAAGTAAAACGAAGATGTACACTTAGCCAGGGAGGTAAAAGGCCTGTACACAAAAGTACGAAACACTGATGAGTGAAACTAAGAAAATACAAGTAAATGAAAAGATACCTTGTGTTCATGAGTTGGAAAAATATTGTTACCCAACTCAATATATATATTCAGGGCAACCCTTTGAAATTTTAAAGAGTTTTTATAGGAAAAAAATTTTCAAGTGGAACCAGAAAAGACCCCAAATAGCCAAACTAACCTACCTCCCTGACAAAAATATACTACAAAATCATAGTTATCAAAACCACATAGTATTGACATTAATATATACAGACACACACACACTGACGCATAGAATCACGATAGTGTCCAGAGATAAACCCAGCTTTTACAGACAGTTGATATTCAGTAAAGCTGTCGAGAATACACAAAAGAGAAATGAAAGCTTTTCCGTTAATATTTGGGTAACTAGATACCCACATCCAGTAAAATGAAGTTGGGGCTATATCCAAAAATAAATGCAGATTATAGACAAATGTAAATAAAATGTAACTAATGAAAACAGGGAAAGCTCCATAATACTGGCCTAGGCAATGATTTTTTCAGTATGACCCCAAAACCACAGGCAACAAAAGCAAAAGTAAACAGATGAGTTTGCATCAAACTAAAAAGCCACACAGCAATGAAAACAAGAGACAAAGAGAAACTATTTACAAAACATACATCCAGTAAGCTTATAGTTATATAATTCAATAGCAAGAGGACCCAATTTTGAAAATAGGCAAAGGACCTGAATAAACATTTCTTTACCAATCAAGTAACCAACAGATTCATAAACAAATGCTCAACATCATTTAATTTTCATTCATTTAGTAATGCTTCACACTATACTTCACACATTCTCTCTGTTGGTGGCAAGGTAGATTGTAGAGCTACTAAACGCATGGAAGTTCCTGAAAAACCAAAAAATTAAACTACCATATGATCCAACAATTCCAGTACTAGGTGGATATCCACTGGAAATCAAATTGGTAGGTGTGAGACATTTGCATTGCCACCTTGCTGCATTATCCATTGTAGCAAAGAGAACACTCTTTAAGTGTCCACCAAGAGGACAAAATGTGGCAGACATACCTAATGCAATACTATTAGTCACTTTGTTGTCACTGAGACAACACCCAACAGCCACAAGTTAAAGGAGGGAGCTTTATTTTGGCTCACTGTTTTTAAACGATTCAGTCCTTAGTTGGTGTTCTAAGGCAGGAAGGGCATAAAGAGTTTGGCAGAAGAAAGCTCTTCCTGTCGTGGTAGCCAGGAAACAGAAAAGGAAGAAGCCAAAAATGGAGTTATACCTTTGCACATCACACCACCGGGGACCCACCTCTTCCAGTGAGGAGCCCCACCTGCTAGCCTTCTGGTGAATGTAGCTCCCCCATGAACCAGTCACCTTCAAAAGGTGAAAACATCTGAACACAGGAGTCTTGGTGGACATGAGCCTGGAGAACTTCATGCTGAAAAACATGGTGACTCAAATTTATGCTTTATGACTTAGATACTCCATTGTGCGTATCTAGCACATTTTCTTCATGCATCTGCTGGCACCTTAAGACCAAAATGCTAAATAAAATAGAACATACACAGAAGGATACATGTCACGTTGTTTCTCTTAACATGAGAATTCCAAAGTATAAATAATTTGAAGAGCAAAATAAAAAGTGATTTAAAAAACAGGAAGATATGTAGAGATGGAAAGAGAATTTAGGGATGGGGAGGAGAAAGGGAGAGTAAAAAGATCAAGATGGCAATGTATGTATGTACCAATTCCCCAGAATGAATGTACTATGTGTCAAAAATATACTATGAAAAAAAATGTTCAATGACTTACAGCTAATATATATTTTAAAACTGCTGGGAGTAAATTTCAAATTTTTCACCCTCAAAAAATAAGTGAGGTGATGGGTTTTAGTTGGCTCGATTTTGTCACTGTGTTGTAAGTATGTAGATATCACATTGTACCCCGTAATTATAACGTTATTTGCTAAATAATAAGGGCATTTCTAGAGAAAGACTGAGATCCTGTAATTTTCAATGGGAACATATAAGAACTGATAACATTGAGCTCCCAAGTTCCAGTGAGTTTTCTGAGCAAAAGTGGCCTTGAGCACTAAGCCTCAGGCTTTCCACCTCTGAGGGGTTTAATCCTACATTGCCTGTAGAAAGAATAATGGCCTCCCTTGAGGCTGTTGCTAACAAAATAATACTGATTCTTCTCAGGGCACACCAATCCACTCCAGGCTCATGTCCACCACCATCAAGCTCCTGAAAGTACAAAGTGTGTCCATGAGGAAGTGTGCTGTACTCTAAAAGAACTTGAGTTTTCTGATTTAAAAAGTAGCAATCCAAGTGATCAGTGTGGAAATGGGTTTTTAGGAGTATGGAATAATAGAACATAATATGCATCAGGCCAAATTCACTGAAATGCACCCAGTAAGCACAGAAAGTGCATTTAATGTTGCACCTTGAGGGGCTAGAAAGGCTCCTAGTGATACAGGGGACGAGAACTCCCAACTTACTATGTCGGTGAGTTGGTGTTCTCTAAAATTGAAGAATGAATTTTAGGAACAAAGGAGGTTAAGAGTAGAATATATTTATTGAGAGAAAGAAAGCTTCTGTCTGAAGAGACCGAAGGGGTCCCCAGCGGGTTGCCAGGACTATCTTTTCCAGGGACTTTCATAGAGCAAAATCATGGGGCGAGACAGGTTCAAGGTAGGGGAAAACTGGGAATTCACAAGGCAGATGGGCATAAGGTGGGACATAACTATAGCCAATAAGATTAGTAGTTCAGGTAAAATTGGTTAAACTGGGGACAAATGTGGAAGCAAGTCACATTCTTAAGGAGCAGTGACTCTTCCCTAGGGGGACGGGATGGTGACTCCAGGCTTCCTCAGAATGATAGGGAACTAATTAGAATATCAGTCCTTAAGATGTGGATGCATTTGTTTGATCTTTTGTCTTGAGGTCTGGCCCAGGGCAGGAGGTATCTGTCTCCCCTCAGGTGCAAAGTATTTGGGCTTCTGCATGTGCTCCTTTGAGGACCTAGCCCTGTCTCACTGCCTATAATATTTTTAACTAACTCAGTTGCTTGCAACACTAACAGTTTGATTATCTGAAACATGGATCAGAAAAAGATGGCCCACACTAAGCAAATTGGAGCCGGCATATATCCCTACTTTAGCCTCAAAAGGACTCAAAACCTTAGGGAAATTAGAATGTTACCAGGTTCTGTATTTGTCACTTAAAAAACCTGCTCACTCACTGACAAAACATCACATTCACTGATACTGGGTAAAGACTGTAAGATACACAGAAACCCCAAGACTCAGGACAATAGGCCTGCACACAGATGCACACATACTTTCGGAGGGCAAAGTAATAAGACCAGTAACACGGAAGCATCTGAGGCAGAGGCAAGGAAACGGCAGCTGAAGTCCGGAGAACTCCACGGAGAGAACTGGACAGGACTGCAGTCCCAGTCCCCACATCCAGAGGCCAAGATCAGGTCCATACCTAGCACATCTCATGGATATAACATGGGCATTATCACAGAACTGGAGACACCAGACGAAGGTAGGTTCTTGTCATAGTTATAAAGAACCAACTACATCTGGAGGATATCCTTAAAGAACGGACATCTTTCCTCCTTGAGACAGGCCTCAATGCTAGTAGTAGAGCTATATATCATGGGAGAGTGGCGGGCATCAACATAGAAGGCAAAATAAAAGAAAAA